TAGTAAGCTGTAATGGAAACAAATAATTCGCACATACATTACTGGTCTGAATGCTACAGGGAAAGGTGTTATGGATCTGTTTATTGATCACAGATGCAATGGAATCCAATCCACCAACCTGGACCTGAAGGATCTGGTGTCCTGGTCCTGATGTTACTGATGTCAGGTGTGGTGGCTCCATCCATGCTGAAGGCAGGATACTCCGCCATCTTGTCATCTACAAAGACACCCTCGAAGATGCGACCATTCTTGAAAGTAAACAGCCCCTGAGAAGCAGCAACGCAGCATCAAAGAAATTTATCAAGAATAATCAAGGCAGTCTTTTTGGCCAAACTGGAACTAATGGACACCTTTCTTGGTTTCACAAACTGAAACAAAAGCAGGTAGAAAACATACCTTTCAGATAAACATGCTTTAAGAGGGTTTTGCACAAATTTACTCCGTCTTTTTATGGAATTAAGAAAGAATTGCACCGGGAAAGCTTTCAACTAGGGAAATTAAGAGAAGTTTCACTTCTGGTAAATGCAAAGTGAATTTGACATCACAAAACATTTGCTCTGAATTTGCTTGAGTGGACATGTATTCAACCGCCCTGAATTCACAGCACAAATACTTCGTCTGACGTCACAACGTCGCATTCCTACTTGCTCTGTGCCAAGTAGAAACCGGTCGTAATAATGTAATGATGGCTCAGCCTTACATACCCGCCCACATTTCTTGTTATCCATCCACTCCCCCTCGTACTTGGCACCATTGGCGTACAGAAAGACCCCGTAGCCATGCCTCAACCCCTGCAGGAAGTCACCGATGTACTGATTGCGCAGAGGGTACTGGGAACCAGGCAACCTATGGAGGTACCAGGTGTGTTCTCCATGGCCATTCTGTGAAAGACATTTATCGAGAGACATTTGCCAATCAGAGTTTACCAATTCTTAAAATCACCCTAAGGGGATGAAAAAGTGCAATGCATGAATTGAACTGACACTGAAAGTCATTGTTGAAGGAATGCATGATAGAGTTTAGGAGCCAAACTTTGGCAATTTTACCTTTCTAGTTCTTATAAATTCATTATTTACATCAAACTGGCTACAAAACTGTACTGTGCTAAAATAGCCAAAGTATTTTTTGGTCATTGGACATAAAGATACATTTGCAATTTATTTTCACTTTGCAAAAAGATTCTCTTCAACAGCAGTTGGAGTTTGGGCAAAATCTAAACTTATTAGAGAGATTTTGCAAAACCTTTAAACTTTACCTGTACTCCGTTGACCCACGGACCGTTATAGGACTGGTCCAAGTCTACCCATCTCATGATGCCCTGGCCGTGTCGGTTATTTGCCATCCATTCCCCTTCGTACACATTGCCACTGCGGTATCGCCGCACGCCGTACCCTTGACGCATGTCATTCACCCAGTCACCTTCGTAAAATGACAGGCCGTCCATATCGTAGCGTATGATGCCCTGCATAAGAACACAAACAAGAATTTGCTTCAATTTCATAGGAACCTTCCTGGATCTTCAAAACTCTGTTGCGCAGGAACCAATTGTATATCCTTTGCATTTGAACCTCCAAGGAGTATCAAGCCCGTTATACAGTGACAGTAAATGGGTCCTAGCTTCCTTAAACCTGCAAAGTCCTCCGAACTCTCTTGGTGGATTTTGACAGATTTGGGAATTTTAGGGCTAATGTAGCCAAAACAAAATGTCAGTGAGAGAACTCTCCAACGTACAGTTCCATGTCTTTTTCCATTGTTCCACTGGCCAGTGTATGAGGATGGCGTAGAGGTGCATCTGAATGTCCCTTGTCCGTGGCGACGACCTTTAAAGACCTCTCCATCATAAGTGCTCTTGTCAGGCCAAGTGTAGAGGCCCTTACCTGTAATTTCATTCATGTTGAAATCACCCTGGAAATAAAAAAAAATGGAAAAATATAGAAATATCCAACTTGCCAAGAAATCTTTCTGACAATCTATTTTAGCATAATCCATAAATGCTGGGGGAACTGATGGAGGTGTGCTGTCGATCACTCGAACTGACTTTAGTTCCTATTCCAAACTATCTTTCGCAGCCGTGAATTATTATAAAAAGGTGATCGAGCGATGGCAATGGGATTGGTGGATTTCAAATGGCACTGACCAATCATCATGCAGATCCAGTGACCGAGTCTAGCACGTACATAATCACGAGAACTGTAAAAGTACGGAGTATGGATTTGAGTTGTGACTGGGTTTGTTGGTCAAAGCTCACCTCATATTTGACCCCGTCACTCCATGTGTATACACCTTTGCCGTGCATTAAACCCTGGGAAAACTGCCCCTAGGGAAACAAAACCCAGAACAGAATAAACCTAGAAATCAAAAGGCTTCGGACTAGGCCTATCAAGAGACAGTCAGCAAAATGTAATGTTATGCAGTATAGATTTCAAATCAAATGTTAGTTACCTGATAGATATGATCACCACTGAAGTAGGCCGTTCCTTCACCATCAAATAAGCCTCGAACCTTCTCACCTTCAAAACTACCAAAGACACATAATGCTATGGTGCAGTAAGTGCACAATACTATGCCCTTACCAGGGCACATCATTGACAGCAATATAGGTAACACCACAAACTAGCTTAACGCAGCACAGGCCAAGGTCGTAAAGGAAAGGAACACCGTACTGTTTACTGGCACGATTGGCCTAATCATTTAATGTAACGTCGGGGGAAACAGGTTTAAAAATGAGCCTAAGTTGTTGGTGTTTGTGATGCTCTAAACTTGTGATGGCCTAATCATGCTAATATGGAACTCTTTCCACAGGCTTTATCGCATTTAGGCCGTGTGCATGCTGTGGGCAAGGACTTGGTTGATTGCTCACCATTCAACGATCAACTCTGCCAGAGTCGGTTCGTCGTACTCAGGTGGGGGAGTCGGTTCCTTTGGCGGTTCTTGCTCCTCAGCTGCCCCTTCTTCCGTCCCAGCCTCCTCCTGCTTCTCCTCTAATTCATCTTCTTTCTTCTCCTCTTCGGGTGGGGGTAGTTCCTCAACAACTTTTTCCTTTTTAGCATTTTTGGCTTTGCCTTTGCCCTTAGAGGCCATGTTAACTCAGCGCAGACGATCAATCGATCAGACATATGTTAATAGCGCCCTCAACGTCGTTAGGTGAATGGTTTCATTAGCAACTGGTCGTTGCTAGGCCGCATTACACCATAAATCTGCGCTTTCAAAGTAATTCTAAGCTACCAAAACTAGAAAATTCTAACCACTGAAAAGGTCATTTTTATAAATAATTGGAGTCCACATTTTGTGACAAATATTTTAATAATCATTTTTAGAAAATGTAAAGATTGTAAATGTTAAGTGCGGAATAATATAATTTTCTTGTTGTCTAGTGACGCGGTCAAAACAGTACCATGTGCACCGATAAACACTTCCGTGTTCATTCGAAAGAAGACAGACTTGTGAAAGTGTATGTTTCGAGTCTGATAGTTTTACTTATGAAAACAGGTTTTGTGAGATAATAGTACAATTAAGTCGTATTTAAAATGTCGAGAAGTGCAGGAACTCTTCAAACAACGCACCAGGCGACTTATATTCCGCCCCGAATGATGCCAGGGTGAGTGCTAATCAACACTGTCAGTTCCACTGCTGACCAGCACTACAGACTGAACAGTCATGTCATTGCTGTGCGCGCTTCGTAAAGATTGAAGTCAGTAGGCAAATTTCGTGACTGTTTTTCAGGTTTGTTAAGACTGTTTAGCAGCCCTTGGGAATTGTGATACAGTTTTGTAACAGTGAAGAAACAATACATTTTTGGCTCCGCCATTGTCCGCTAGGCTGTGGTTACTTACAGGCCCAGTTTGAAAACAACCGAAAACAGAATTTGAACAATTTGTCCACTTCTGCATGCTGTTAAACTTGTTATAGAGTGTAGGATTTTGGACTGTTAGGGTTAAACATGTTGAAATGATTGGCCTAGTTTAGCGTTTGAATTAGTTCTAGGCCGGATTTGCTTGTGAGGTAGCAGTAATAAATATTGTAGAGTTAGCACTCAACTTTGGAAGTCAGGTTGTGCGTAGTTCTTTCCTGGCCCCTCTACCTCTACGGTCTGGGTTCCATTCCTGGTTCAGTCCAAATATGGGATATGGATTGGGATTTTAGTCACTTGGTTTTACCCAGAATATTCCTCTAGGGTTTTACTCTCACCTATAACTTCTCGTCATGCTCTCAATCTACAGGATTCATCAGGCATGCAAGCTGCAGTGCCCACGGCACTCTGAGGAATTCTCGGTGGTGTTATCAGAAATAATTTAATGCGAATAATAGTCATGATAGGACTTCTTCATTTTGCACATTATGCTTGCACAATTTTGTTTTGATACCTTATATTTCTGACTTTTGCCACAGGTACAAAGGCCATTGTCCTACCACGAAGTTTGACTACGGCGAAACCTATGGTAATGCCACTGCCAAGTACTTTCAAGACTACCGCTCTGAAACACTGAACCAGAGCAAAAGTAATTACGCCAGAGGTGGTCAGTTCCCAACAGTCTACACTCACAACCCTGACCTGGTCATCCATGCGAGGGATCGGACAAGGGAACAGTGGCGGACGGCGCCTAAATATGAACTGACCAATGTCAACTATGACCGCAAAGAAGAGATTGACAAATTTGACAAGGTAAAGACCCTGTTACTTTTCTGATTAATGATGCTGAACCTGATTTGTATGAACCAAAAATACAGGATCATTGTTGAACTAAATAACAGCAATTTATTCCTGGTTGAATATCTGTCTATCTTTATTTTATCCAACTTGGTACATTTCATGAATGCCATGAAGGAGATGACTTGTTACATATGAAGAGAATGCAGTTTCATTCAGTAATTCAAAATCACCTGTTTTGCTGTATTAGCTTGCCCAAGATCACCGCCAGTACTATAAAGATCGGACAGGCACAGTCCAACGAGTTAATGAGTTTTTAATCCCAAAGAGTGCAGAGGACATGTACAGGCAAGATTTGAAATCGTAAGTAGATTGCGGATTACGCTGGAACTTGATTGCTGGTGTTCTTTTGATTGGTGTGAGTCTTCTCTCTGGAGCTTATTGGATTTTTAACACAAAGCAAACCTGTTGTGGTGTGGAGAGGCATTGCATGTAAAAGCTTCCACTGATTGTGTGATTGATTGAAAGCTTTGCTCGCGCTGTGGGACAGTGTTCTGCCCCCTAGAGAAAAATGCTCAGAGTGGCTTATTCTAATTCTGAAATGACCTGCATGAGGGAGAAAGTGGAACTGCAGTCAGCGAAGAGAGAATTTGACATTTAAGTACAACATATGTACAGATTTGGCACCATCAGACCTTGTGCATCAGGAATGCAACAGGTGAACCTCGTTGGAATGTAATCTTGTTTTCAATTTCTGGATGGCGTTTTAATTCATGTATGACAATAAGGTACATAAAGAAATAACTTCATATGTAAAAAATGATTAAATGTGAATTTTGTATTTGATTTGCTACAAAATGTTAAACAGCCCTGTGTTTTACTTTAATTCTTTTTGTTTTGATTTTGTTTTTTGTGTTTTACTTTAATTTTTTTTGTTTTGATTTTGTTTTTCTAAAATCTAAGTACATGTACATGTAAATCATGTACATATTATGAAATTTAAAGGAACCAGGAAATGGATTTTTCTTAGGATCACTTTTTGTGTATCTCTGTACTCTTCTGTCATGTATGAAGACTGTGTGACATCATTGTTGAGTTACGTGAACCGAACGGTGCACTTTTTCAAACATTAAAAATTGGCCAAGCATTTCTGGACAAGTGAGGGCACTTTTGCTTTGATGTAAATCCAGGAAGACATGGTTCAGGTTGCAAGTTTTCATTTTCAAATTTGCCATCTGGGAACATTTCTGTTATAAGGATTTTTGCTGGATTACTGCCATATACCTACACAGCAATGAATTGCCCAAAAAAAATCTGCCATAGCAGTGGTTAAAAAATCTAGATATGTTCTGTGCACAGATCAGTGCAACATTTAGACTCAGTGCCTTGGATGACATCATAGGTCTGCTCATGAATATGCAAATAGCATTAGCATAAAACCAAAAGGCATCAAAATATGGGTTAAAATTGCAAAACAAAAATTTAAAATCAGGTTAATTGAAACCCAAAGATGCAATTTTGAGGGTTTCTAGTAAAATTTATAAAATATTTCTATTTCCTGGTTCCTTTAAGATCATGTTCATAGGTATACATGTACATGTACATGGGTAAGTTGTTACTGTTTGTACATACAGCCTCCGATATGTGCACTCAAGGAGGGCAAATCGTATGCTGTTTTCCATTACTGATAATACAAGGCTGTATCTGTTACAAGGCAATTTGTGGAAGTCCAAAGGACCTTGTTAAATTAACAGTGCTCAACTGTAATAGCCAGAGTGACTGGCCGATAAAAATTCGAAGTTTTAAAACAAAAGCAGAGAGGAGCTTAAGGTAGAGCTTGTCACTTTCCCAGAAGTTTTTCCAAGCTCTTTGTCAGGGTTTGAAGTTCACAACTCATGAGGCCAGTGCAAACAAACTGCAGTACTACAGGCCACGTCTCGCGCGCCTGAAGCCATACAACTGATGCTGATGTGTTGCAATAGCGCCCCCTATGGATGGTCAAACTGTGAAAGGGAAATTCTTGTATACACTGCCAGTCAATCTTTGATTGACTTCAGTTCATGTACGTGTATAAGCGAACTGCCTTGTGAAATGTGTTTATCCCACGAGCCACACTTTATACAACTCATAACTGTATTGTAATTCGTTTTTCTCTATAGTTTATGCATACATGCATATGTACAGTCGAACACGGTTTACATTTATTTTGAAGAGACCAGATCAGAGTCGTATATAAAAAAAAACCTGGACTTGCAATGTATAGAAGCCAACCAGCGGCCATTTTACTGAGCCGAATACAAATGCACGGGTTGGCTCGCTTCTATTGACGTCAGGGAGAACAAAGGCGAGCATTGCCGGGCAAGCTTTGTAGTCGGCTTGGTAAAATGGCCGCAAGTGGATTCAGTGATCTCTATAAGCTGATTAAGAACATTGCCAGTCCAGATTTTTTTTATATATGTCTGTGCGCTAGATGTAGAATGAAAACTAAGTCAACGTGAATAAACTACATGTACATGTACGTGGTTTTGTATATGTAGCATACTTTTAGGTAGGACACGAGTATTATTATAAGAACTGTAATTGATTGAATTAAAAATGTTCAGTCTGTCTTTTCGTACAAGGGCCTCTTCCCTTTTTAATATCAGCACCCTTTTGTTCCTCACCGCTGTCAAAGCATGTCATCACGCATTTTACTTCGAAAGTGATTTGAAGTTTGCAGTGGCTGCACAAGGTTGGTTTGGTCTTTATTAACACCTTCCTAACCACAAAAGTAAGTAAACTATTCTCTCCCTCCCTTTTGGCTTGTCTTGGAAATTGTTTGCCCAAAGATGATTAATGAGACGTGAATGCATTTATGATAAAACTGACGGCCTTAATAATTTTACATCTCCTGGCAGATTGTATTAGTTCTTGACGGCCGATTGGTTTTTAACTGCCAACAAGGCTCCTTTGTGTTTGCTCAAGGGATATCCCGGACTATTAAACACAAAAAGCGACATGAAGAGCAGACTCGGTGTAAACGCATTTTTGTCTCATCTACAAAATTGTCCTTTTCGGTCTCTGTTCGTTGATTTCTATTTTACAGAGTAGGCCTACACAGACACAGGTTGGGGAATTAATTCTTACAGCGTTGGTTGAGTTTTCAGCGGTGCACTGATGAATACGTATACTTTTACAATGTATTTTGGGAGTTGGCGTATTGGAGGGCTTGGAATTTTTTTATTATTTTCAATCATTTGGTTCATGAATATCTTCAATTTGTTTAGGAGGGGTTGGGTTCATCTCCATTGGCAGCGGGGTCAGGAAGACTCAACCATTGGTATCCAGGGAATGTTTCTTTCAACCTCTTGCGCAGGGCACCCGTGGAACTTCTGCTTACTGCTTCTTACCGTTGCTTTCACAGAGCCGAGGAGGAGGTGGACGTGGAAGCAGAAGCCAAGCTGAAAAAAATGTTGAACCAGCCCGTCATGAGAACACCCAAGACCACCTCAACAAACAGCCGGACCTCCACTGTCCGGGACAGGGCCATGAGAGACGTCGTCTTCGAGTCCAGATAATTGTTTCCTCTTGGATTCATCAAATCAAACGTACATTTCAGAGAAACGTTTCCTCATATAATCTTAACCAGCATAACAGTTCCAATAACACAGTCTTATGAACAGCAAACAATAAACTTGAAGTAAAAAGTCAGTGGAAATTTAATTGCAATTTTTGGTTGAGTGTACTTGAGTAAACATAATTCGGCTATAAAGTAATCGTAGTTATAGTTGTACAATTATTCGGGAATCAGCTCTTCTTATGGGTTAAAAATACAAAATGGACGGTATCTGCCAATACGGAGGTGACACAGCTTAATAGTTATAAATGAAAAGAAAATAATTCAAATAAATGTTGCCCCAAAAATTATGTACATAATACAGTTTGCAATATAATTTTGATTCAGAGAATCATCAATAAATTTGTGTATCTGATTCATTGATAAACATAGCATAATGGAACTTCTTGAGCGATTATTTTTTTTTATTTCCTGATCCCGAGCAAAGTATTCTGTACACAAGTGGTTTTACTTTATTATATAATTGTGATGTTAAATGAAATTAAACACAGTAGAGGAGAATGACCCCTTGCAAACCGGCAGAGCTATGTGGTGATGCTTACATGTACGTTTGTAGTTCCCAGAACAGAGGACGTCCACGATAGAACTAGTCCTTGAACTAACTGTGCAATAACTAGGACATTACAGGTATTTAAAGTAATGGAGCAGGAGGTAGATTTTATCGGACTTTTTAAATTTGAACTAAAACCCTAAATTTCCAAGAATGAATATAGTTGGAGTCAGATGTACCCGCTGCTACATCTGACTCCAACCAACCAACCCCGGCAAGCTCGATGGTTGAGTGGTTATAACGTCTGCACTAGTAAGCCAGGAAGTCGTGGGTTCGAGTCTCACCCAAGCACGCTTGTGGTTTTTTCACAAGCCATCGGGGGCAAACACTGAGTACATGTATGCAGTGTGGTAATACACGTCGGGCAGGGCAAAAATCTCAAATTAATTAAAATCCTAAACTAAAGAAAGTCCCGACGGAAAGAAGAACATGATAGCAACTATTCTGAAAGAAAAGAAATAGAGTTTCATTTGACAGCCACTGTGGTAGCAATTTGCCAAATGCACGCGCGCATCAAGCTGAAGAATGTGCATGACAGTTGCCTTCCTGAAATCGTAGACTTATCTGGAAGCAGTGAAGGCATGTTTTATTCTTTATGCAAATGATGTGCGCGGTTTACTCGACCGTGAAATGAGAACAAGACGAGTGAACATTGTCATCCTTGCTAATCCCAAATCTGTATACCGAACACCTTTGCATGCTGCGCACATGTAATCGTCATGTTGATGTTCACTGCTACCAAACAAGGTTGCCAAATTAGAGGTATAACATGTACACGTACGACTTCACTTCAGCTGCTCCGTCCAAGGGCTGATCTACGCCAGGCAAATGGCTTTTAAGGGATTGGAGCTCATTTTGGCGAATCCGAATAAACTTCTTGTGGCTAATTTTGCGAAAATCTCCAGTCTACGCGAAAATCTCGAGCCCTACACAACATTGGATCATTTTAAACATGGTCGTATAGAATGGCTTGGGGAGACGTAACATTAAGACACCAGCCTTGGGGGAAATATTTGATCATGGTTTCTATAGCTGAGAGCCATGAGTGATACTTGCGAGTTTTGAACGGATTTTGGCAATGGTTTCATCAAGAAATCGTATGGGGTAGCTTTGCCACCATACTGTTTCATATGCACACTGACACGACTTCATCTGGTTTCTGGGATGTAGAAGTCGAATTTGATTTTCAAGAAGTATGGTCTAAAAAACGTCGGTAAGTACACTGCATTTTGCTCTAGCTCAGGTAGGACTACACATAAAACTGGGTTAGTCGGTTGGAAGGCATGTGAAGGAACTGCTTTGCTGATGATAACAGGACTATAACACCCGAGGGTGTGTGGAAAATCCTATCTTAAAAGCGGAGAATTGAGGACTGTTGGGACTGTTTATAACAGTGAGACCATGGATGGGCATGTCGAACTACGTGGGTGTACAGGTGACACTTCAACTTCTGGGCAAAAATGTCGTGTTCCGATTCGTCCCACTCTTGTCCGGTTTACTGACGACTGCTTTTCTACTCGCCAATTTCCTTTTAATATTTAAACTGCATCTGTGATATTTTTTTTTTACATTTGGATCCTGGGTTTTAGAATGATTTGCGTTCAACATGTCTATTGTACATGTATATGTAAACGAGGAAAAGAATGTATAGTTGTGATCCTTGAAGAGAGCCACGTGAGTACCCTGTACTAGCTCCCTCCTGTTGGTTTGTTGGTTTGTTGGTTTGTTGGTTTGTTTTAATGTTTTAATGGCGCTTTCAGCTACTTAGGTTATTTGTGTCAACATCTATATACGCTTCAAAGCCTTTATTCATTAAACGGAGTATAACGGAGTTAGGAAAACGGTCCAGTTTTAGAGGCAGAAGGAGACTGGAGTACCCGGAGAAAGCCTGCGAGAGCGAGTATGGACTGGAAACCAAACGCACTTAAACCTAACGCTATAACCCGCTCTCCCGTGTACTCCCTGCATAAGCGACCCTGTCAACATTACGGCGAACTGTCTGACGTCACACAAAGGCTCCCTATATACACGTATACAGTAATGTTAGCAGCACTAACAATATAGGACAGCATCATGATCAAAGATTATATAGCGCCGCATAGCGGCGCAAGATGGGTAATTCGGCCATAAAGGTGTTATCACCTGAATGGCGCCCATGTGACAACAACTTTTTACGCGCATTCACGGTGAAGTTCCCCACCTTTGATCATGGTCTCAAACACACCTAAGACGCTGTAGTGCCAGTACAATGCCTGCCTGCAGGCTGAAACGTTTGATAAAATCAGTCGTCACATATTGAACACCTCATATACCAAATCCAACAATATTGTGATTTAAACGAAAAATCAAAACTGTAATCGATACCATCATCTCTACAGAATCATACATGTATTTCAAACAACATTCATGTCTAAGCTTCTTAAGCTTGAGTGTATATACATATACAAGCCAAGCAGCAAAGATTCGAAGAGCAAATATTGATATTGATATACAACAGAACTGCTTGGTTTGCACGGCTTAAGTGTTTACTTTAAGCAGCATGACAAAAATATCCTTGTTTAAATGTTAAAGAGAGTACATATCCCCACAGACGCTGTAGTTGATTTTTATCTCAGATACGTACCAGACCTGTCAATGCAACAGCAAAAGATTAATGATCTGGAATTCTGACAAAATTCACAGAAGTAAAGTGTGTACATGGAGCTACCTTTTGACGTGGTCACGGTTTTTAGGGAATTTCCGCGTGTAAGTCAGAGCAATTTTTTTTTTTGTAATGGAAAAGAAAGTTCCTGTTTTGCTCAGTTGTTGCTCTTTCAGAACGGAAACACTACCAGCTGTTGAAGCAATAGTTGTTATTCTTAACAACAATAATTAGGCCTATATGATGTGTTTGCAGACTAGATGTTTACTTGAATCTTTACATGTCACATAGACGTGGCCCTGGTTGCTTAAACAACAGAAGATTTAACATAGAAATCATTCTTGACTGGTTATTTTGCTGCCGGGAGACCAGTGAGTGCTGTTCACGTCACGTCTGTATGCAGTGCATGATACATGTAATTTTCCAGCAAAAAGTACACATAAAAATATGTGAACAAATAAGATTTGGAGTGTATAATATTAAAGGTTATCGCCAACACAAGATTGGACGTCACCCACACAAAAGCAAGAACTTTGGTCATCACACTTTGGTAGAGAAACGGACTTTCCCCTGGCTTGCTTTTAAAGACATGGGCTACACGTAATCTTTGTAGTGCTTGTGAGTCGTTATATTTTATTCATAGATGATATTTTCTACCCATCCTGGCTTTCCTTTCATTGTTAATGCCGGTGGGTGGTCTGTTTGTCCGTCATTGTCACTGCGTTTATCGATTTCTTCTGGATATGATTCACACACGTAAACTACGTTGTCAACCCACCCGGTATCTCGGTCCGATGAGTCCGAAAATATGGCGTCCTCCTCGGCATATCTTTCCTTAACAACTTCGCTGTACACGGGCGGAGCATCACCTTGATTGGGCTCGCTGGTGTAAGTATCTGCGGCCAGATGGTTTGTGTACGTGTGGTTTGCGTATGTGGAAACGGCTGTATCCATGGCAATATCTGAAGTGTTCATTTCTCGTGTCTTTCTGAATCTGAGAAAAGTCATTTGCAAAATATGGCCAAATAATAATGCGAATTCGTCGCAATTTCTCCTAAAAATCTGACGTTGCTCTGAAAATAAAAACGTTTTCTCCTTGAGGCCTAATATGGTATGACTTTGTGATGTATTTTGGGCGTTTTAATGTGTGCTTTGAATACCAAATCAATGTCTTACCTGTTTCTCCACACAAAAACCGCTGATGCCACGAGAGTAGCTAGGGCTAGCAAAGCTCCGATCACTACTCCAACTACTGTACCTGTAGAAAATAATGTTTGTTTAAAGTCTTTGAAAATCGCTGAAAATAGGAATTGTAATTGTTCACCATTGCTCCAGTGGAGTCAACCGCAGGGCCGCAAGTCCATCACTTGTTATTCCCTTTTCAGAGTTATTCATATAAACTGTGAAAAAGCAATCCATTGTCACTGCTCACCTTATCTAACACATGAAAGGGCTTGTGTTGACTATTTAGCAGTGAGTGAACCTGCACTGAAATCCGTACAAAACCCGCAATCATGCTTTTTAGCATACCTGTACATGTAATGCATTTCTCTGATAAAAATATTGCAGAACAATATGAATGAATGTGAATGTTTGTGAATGTTTATACAATGGGTTCGGTTATGTTGACTGTAGGTCGTTGATCTTTCGACGAAATTGAAGAAACCGTGAGGGATTTTGTTTTTCCTTCATTTTGCATGGGCCACTTTGTAACAGACTTTCAAGTTGCACTTGATACCATCGCTTGGAATACCTGTTTGTAATTGTGCTGCCATTGGATTGTTAGTCCCGTGCGAAGGAGCCCTTGTGCCAGACCAAGTCGAAGAAGAAGCATGTGATGGTGACTTGCTCACAGCTGTACCTGTTATGAGCTGCCCTGTTGTCTGGTTGTCGTCTCTTGCTCCCTCGTCCGTGGTGTAACTCGGCAGATTGGTCTCGGTGTTCGATGGGGTAGTTCTGTTGGATGTCAAGTACACTGAAGTGGTTGGTAGTGTTGTCATTGGCTTTGTCGTCGTTGGGGCTGGGAACAACCATAACAGAATGAAAATTAATAATTTAAGAGTTAAGAACCATTTAACTCCGCAACTCCGCAAAATGATTAAAGGGAAGCTTCTTTTATTTGGGCTTATGTCATGTGCAGTAATTAAGCGGTATTAAAAGAGGTATTCAACATTCACAGGTGTAAATACAATGACAAGCTTAATCTTGGACTCTTGGAAGGGCCTTGGCGCAGAACAGCATTATTTGCTCATGGCTTTAAGACTGTATATACACACTGATCTTTTAAAAGCGCATTTTATGAAATTTACTTACCCTGACAGGTCGGTGCGAAATCACTCCACGTGACGTTGTTGTAGCCCGTGTCTATGCATTCAATGGACGAGGCTCCATGAAGAGTATATCCAACGTCACAGGAGAAATCCACACGAGTCCCGAACAACTTGAAGTCGTTGAGATTGTACGACAGTGAACGTGGATTGGTGATGGTGTGGTCTCCGTTGGTCGGTGGCCCAATGTCATTATTACACACGCTCTGCGATACTGATTATGAAAGAAGTTTAAATTATAAAAATTTCACTTAAAAGTAAATTCCAATGTGTTTTCTCACCTACGCTTTCAACTCATCAGATTCATGACTCTTGACACGTTTTGTATTTTCGGTACTGATGAAAAACTACTCCCAACGCCATCTAACCTTACTGGCAATTTCTGCGCATGTATGAATAGGTCCTATGTTCCTCATTCTGTTCTTTCGTTTCTTTTTATGTACCTGTAGGCCTATAGCACCAGGGTATGGTAGCAATAGAGTGCCTTACTTCTGTATATAGATATCCGGTCCGAGTCTCCACAGATCTGGTCAGTGTTTCCCTTACACCTGTCTTGACAATCAGACTCCGGTTTCTTCCCGAATTTGTCGTAGTCTTCGTTATTTCCACAGAAACATTCATACTCATATTCCAGTCCAGCGTACTTGTAGATGACGGGTTCGACATCCAGACAGTGTCTGAAGCACCATTCACTGGATTGAAGGTCGCTGTCTTTTGGTCCTATCGGCAATGCACGAGAACAGAAAACACCCACACAGTCCCCGAAGCACCCCAAATACCCAGGAGCTGTAATCAGGGGAACCAAGTTTAAGTTCAATCAATACGTTCGAGTAAAAGGTCTTTGGGTGGTTATTTTTGAGGGAGTTATGTTTTAGGTTTAAGTTGAAACTTATAATCGGATGACCAGTGTTCCTGCCTTTGGTTACCTCCTGTCCAAGATTATACTCCGTGATATCGTTATTCAAATACATGTAAGTGTGCATGAGTTCTTCAGTTATTGCGATTATTATAGTCTAGCATCAGTCGCTCTCCGACCTCGTCCTACATAGCCTTCCTAGAATCACGTCTCCCCTCCCTGTGATATTTATGTAAGACGTTGCCACAAGACAGACCACTTTCAAAGATGATTGATGTTAAATGCTGATACTGCATGATAGTAAACTGGATAAAAATTGAAAAAAAGACTTACCGTTCTGCGGCTGCGAGAGGACTAATACAAGTCGACAAATTGTTGTAATCAAAGTAAACTCAAGCACGCGGCCGCATGGCCATCCACCACTCGGGCTAGACTTCAAAGGAGACATGGTTACTATTCCTTGAGAATGACTGTCGGAAATAATTCATGTGCTTCCCCGTAGTGCTTCGTTTGACTGTTCGTCTCATGCGTGATACTGCATGAAACGGACGTTTTGGCTTCACTCTCTGTCGAATTTGATTCGGTTTCCTTTAGTGCTTGCGTGCTTTTGCACTTGCGCAAAAGTGGGTACCGAAGTTCAAGTGCCTGGATGGGGGGGGTTACCTATCAAAAATGGTTACTATAAACCGATAAAAAATTCAATTCATTGGTGTTATAAATCAATCAAAATATGAGAATGAAAAGGGAACGAGGATAATACTCTAGTCGTGTTTATCAAGATTTTACAACAGGACATCGTAAAAAGCAGTCGCCAATAACCAGAAACAAAATCAACTGTATACCCTCACAGTCCCCAACTTCCCAATGTCAGCATGATTTTATTCACGGCGGGGGCTAATATTGAGAAACAGAAAATGAAACTGAATGGCAGACCTCAGATTTCGTTGGTGTGTTTATTAAGACATGTATTAGAATTGAAATTGCATTAGCAAGTCGTACTTCTCTATTAGAACGTTATACTTCCCTGTTGTAACACTTTAAGTGCAGTTCATTCCAGGTATTTACTTTAACAAGCCCAGATTGATGTTACGTAATAATTATAATTCAATTACGACTGTAAATGCGTATAACGTCTTGATTACATGTTCAGTATTTTACATTTAACATGCCATTCCACACTGCAGTCGTAAGGAAATGAACGTTTGTTGCAGACGGTATTGAATTGACAAAGTGTTCCCTTTAATTTGAGGAAGTAAATGAACAAGCTTTCATTTCATCCGCTAGCTTTTTGCACTGTCAGCGTTGTGTTTTAGAAACCTGTTGGGAGCCGACAGTGATTGAATAAGGTACAATTAGCATACAATACAGCACATCATTTCTTTTTTCCCCATAGATTGATGCTGTTCACATTATTGAAAGCGGATCTCCTGTATACGATCGTTATTGAGAAAGAGTTTTGTTAACACTTCAGAACTGTATACACACCACCGTTATTTACGTTGTCCATACAATGTATAAACTATACGTATGGGAAATATCACGAGTGAAATTGTTAGGCTAAATTACTTCAGCGCGTTATGTCATTGCGCAAAAAGTGGCGGCAGATGCCCGTACCTTTGCAAATTAAAGCGAATTATTATTTATCTATGCCGTCTTGACGTGTAACGCCAATGCCACTTTTTCACACATCAAATTTCAGGCCATAAGTTCTTGCCAGAAATAATCTAGTCAAGGAAATGTATATATTCCAACTCATTGGGTTGCAGGAACTTGATGTTAATGGTGAAGATAGAAAAGGATGTCTTGAATGATATACCGGTACTATCGAACACAGTGCAGGTTTTGATCTAGTTAGGTTTTTTTTCCATTGTTAGCGGATTGTTTGGAAGCTCAATTGGAAATGATTCACACCCATATACTGTATTCTCAACCCATCCTGTCTCCTCATCATCATGAGAGAGAACGGCAACTTGATAGCATGGCATGCTCCCTGGGGTAGTAACGTCATCAGCTGTCGCGTACACCTCACCGCCAGCTGGCGGCTTCTTTGCGACTTGGCTGTACATGGGCGGGGTTGACATGGCAAGGGCTGTGCTGGGCTGCCCTACTTCCGGTTGTTCATAGGACACATTCGTAAAAGTGGATTCCACTGTTGCCATGGCAACATTATCTACACTTCTGGTTTCTCTCTTAGCTCTGAAATAGTGAAATTTTACAAGCTGTTACAGTCTTTTACAAATAACTATTTTGCATTAATCTTGCACTTGCAGATGTTATATATGCTGTATGATTATAGATTTATATGTTACAGGTTCGTGGTCAAATATAAATGATTCACAAAAACTTAATTGTACCCAAACGCGAAGATGTAATGGATATAATGTCTAGGAAACAAGGATTGGCGCGTTTCTCCCAGGCCCTTTTGGAATTTTGTTTTTGTTGGTTGCAAGACATCCATTGGGATCATACCACTGCGCCGTAGGCTGTATTGCTATATTGTTTGTTGTTAAGGCATTTTTCAAGAGAATGGTTGCACCAGTCCTGTGTAATGTGGTCTCGTAGAACAATTTTATTTGATATGAGAGAAATCTGAGGAGTGTTTATAGTGACTAATGAGATCAGGCTGATACCTTTTCTTCCATTGACATACACCCACGACAACTGCCAAAAGAATAATCAGTGCTGTTACCCCAACTGCAATGCCGACTATCGTACCTGTGAAAGAAAAAGATATTGGTAACATTGACTATTTTTACACGCATCGTACCCAGGCAGAGGCCATCGTATCATCAGTAATCATCTCTGATGAAAGAAGTGACCAATTTCTCAGGCCATGGTACCTTCCTGAAAATGCCCAAATGTTAGAGTAACTCCAGTGGTACTGAATACGCCATTTGCTAATTAAATTTGAATAAAATCTGGTACACTGAGTTATTCGATTGCACACAAACGTAAACTGACTAAATACGCTGTTTCTACACCTCGTGATTCGGGGCAAGCTTTCGCATGGCGACCAACATCTCTGGAATGGACTGCAAGAAATTTAACTAAGCAAAAGTTTGCCCCGAACCATGAGGTATGGCAACAGTGTTTTTTAGTATGAAGAATTTGAATTATGTTCCCGTGAATTTAAAGAACTCAGTGTTCCAGATTTTATTCAAAGGTCACCCGCAAAAGGCGTATTGAGCATTAGAGTGTGATCCACACTTTTCACAAAGGGTAGACGTCAAGACACTGTAGGAATATTTGCTACATACTGATCTAAGCAGAATATCTGCAATGAAGTGCCTGAAAGTGCTGTATACTTTTGGATACCTGTTTGTAACTGCCTTTTACGTCCGCCGATTTCGTTGACCTGGCCTTCGGAAGTTGTCTTATGATTCCTTTCAGCTTCTGAGGATAGAGTAGAGTTTTATGATTAAATTGTGTGGCTTTTTGGTTTTGTTGGGGTGTAACGTATCTGCTTCGCAGGGGTTGTTTGCAGAGATTTTCTGTAATATAGGTCTCTGGGCCGAATTCGTCATCTCCCCAGTAAAATTCATTATTGTTCAATTTATTAAGTTGCTCCCATGGTTTTTTCATACGGTAGAGTCTTCAAATTGGTTTACAGGCGTCGAATAGTGTACTGTAACAAATTCAATTTAAAATCAATTTCATTCAATTGAACAGTGCGTAACCGTTACTCGATTTCGCGCTGGGTAACTGGAATGAGAAATTTCTCCCGAGTTTTACTTTCATTTTCGTCTATGGGCGATCATGTTCGCATTTTGAGCCTTCAAATTAGAAAACTTCAAGGTAAGAGGCTTATACGTCAAATTAAGATTCATAATAGACCAGAAGGGGACATTAAAAGTAGAAAACACGCTAGAGGTGTGTCCCTCGTATTGAATTGAATGTACTTGTATATTTGTATATACTTCAAACAAATTCTACATCAAAAATACGGTACATTTACTCCAGTACTGATTGCCCGTTAAATCAAAATGTAGAAATGAAACTCTCCTTTGACCTTCATCACGGATGCTGAAAGCAAAGTCCTTTAGATCAGTTTACTGATTTGTAGTTTATTATTTTATACACAAGAAACACACTCTCCATAAATGTGCAAGTACACTAAGATTTTTCGGGCTCTCTTAACAATGGCTTCTTTTTCTTATTTTGCCACAGTTGTAAGTAATGTTTTTGCTTTCATGTTTCATGTTTCATTCTATTTTTGTCATCCTTCTTCGACATTTCCCCACTTTGTCCATTTTTGTTAATAAAGAATTTTAATTTGCATTTATATGGAGATCTCTACCCGTGAACCAAACGTTTCCTTTCATGAAATATTTAGCATAAACTAATTAAAAAGAAAGAATTAGAAGATTTACCTTTTAATGGATAACACTGCACGAATCTCAGAAATGCTTGCCGATTCACGAAATTGAACGCCAAAACACATACAGCGGGAGTGTCTGTGCGAATTGAATGCTTTTTGCCTGTTTCTCCAAACTAAATGCCGACCCTCCACTTTATGAATAACAAGATTGTGCAATCGCAATTATCGCATGCTCTTGGAATGAAATCAAATGATCAGTTTTGCTCGTTGAATGGTGATATATAGGTCGCCAATCTGTTTCGTGCTAATTTGAATGAAACTGTCGCTAATTCGTGTGCAAAGATGATGAATTCCGCCGGGAAAACCTAATGTTTAATTCCCTTGGAAATTGTATAGCTTGCGGTTGGGAAATCAAGGCGCTGCCATCTATTTTGCAAGCTGTTGGCGGTGCATGCAGAATACGTCACATGATAAATTTCACCTCTAGGGACACAGGACAAGTATTAAATCTGGTCATGTTGATAGCATGTGCAGGATGCACGGCAATCTGTGTCCGTCTTGTCAGGATGCCGAGTTTCATGATGTCATTTTCTCCGTGCCAACTTTAGATTCTCATCTGATAAGATGTTTTCTGTTCATCATCAGCTTTGACGGTGAACATTTCAGTTCTTTCCACGTTCTTTTATGTTGTGTTTTATTGTGTTAAAAATATTCAGTTCTTACGGGGTGCTTGCGTCGGATTCAAATTCCACCCAGGCTTACCTGTACCTGTGAACTCGGTTTTTACAGCCTTCCCGTGATTTTCCCGGCATATTTTCAGCTTTTCCCCTCTCTCACTTCTAAACCTGCACTGTTCTACTGCTTCTCATTTCTGCACAGTTTACCAAGCTGGTCTCTTTGCAAAAACGGCACCTTTTCTTACAGTTTCGTAAAACAAGATGAATTTCTGCATGCATTCAACAATATTTGTGAGAAAAAAGTAGATGGATTCTTCCTTACCTGTGCTTGACGGTGGATCTGCTGACGACGAATTGATCATACAGGTTGGTACCGAGTCACTCCATGTGACGTTGTTGAAGCCCGTGTCTATGCATTCAATGAACGAGGCTCCATGAAGAGTATATCCAACGTCACAGGAGAAATCCACACGAGTCCTGAAGAACTTGAAGTTGTTGAGATTGTAATCCAGTGAACGTGGGTTGTTGATGGTGTGGTCTCCGTTGGTCGGTGGTCCAATGTCATTACTGCACACGCCTTGGGATACTACAGGGATTGAAAGCAAGCATTCAAGAAACTCAATCGAAGTTTTCAAGACCGTAAACAGTGTGTACTTAAAATCAGTACCACTGATTTTAAAACAGTTGTTGAAAATATGCATGATCAGCAAGTTTTAAACGTGGCACCGAGTTTACGGTATATAGTTAATAAAGAATTGCTGAAGTAAATTAAAGGAATGTAAATTAACTACACCCTAAAAAGGAGAGAAAAGCATTTTGCATTGTTGTTGCCTCGTACATGAACGATTCAATGCTCTTTATATTACATGTGTAATTCGACTTTGGTATTGCCCACGTGTAACACGGGAATAACGTTGGTTAAACGTTGACCCAGCCTTGCATATTTCATGAAACTGATTCGGTACAGTATTTAAGTCCTACTGCACTGACATGCCAATGATGCGAGTAAGGGCTTAAATATATACAGTGACCAAAGACTTTCGTTTTTCTTAAATGCAGTTGTAATTTAAATACTGAAATCTTCATAGAAGCGTTGGTTGCTCTTAAATATAATCTATCCATTAGTAATGTGCCTGAATCACTCGCGAAATGGGTTTTGTCTAAACAACCATGTGGCACGGGCATCTTCTGTCTTCTTCTGTCCCCCCTCCCCGTAAATGCCCGTGCCCCCCGCCCTTTTTGAAATCTGTGAATAAATAGGATTAAATTATGCTGTTTAAATTAAATCATTGTAAAGTGTGTAGATGAATAACAGCTAAGGAGTAAATAAAGTCATTTCAGTTGTTTTTGAGAATTTTTAGTAGTCACGGCTTCGTTCTCTCATCTACCTCGATTTCCCCCCTCCCACCACCTTTTATTGAAAGGTTATACATCAACAGCTCTACGTTACATTGCCTCACTTTCATACAATGAGATGCGGTGTGAGTCCCCACAGATCTGGTTGCCGTCTCCCTTGCACGTAGTCGTGCACTCGGAGTCTTGCGTTTTCTTAGCTTGATCATTGATGCTATTTCCACAGAAACATTCATCTCCATTTTCCAGTCCGGCGTACCTGTAGCTATCCGATGTTACTTTCAGACAGTGTTTGAAGCACCTCTCACTTGATTGGTCCTCACTTTTTATCTCTCCAATAGAGAGCGCACGAAAAGTACACGCGACAAACCTGTTGCAATCCGTGTAACATCCTATAAACCCGGGAACTGCGATCAAATCAAAATTTGTTCAATCAGAAACATGAAAAATTGCAACCCCCTTGTTTTTTCTTCATGTACATTTTAATGTGTACGGTTTCCTTTTGCTTGGTTTGCAAGTTAAGTAGGGTTTATTTCCTTTTCTTTTGCGATTTGTTTTTTGTGTGTGTGATTTGAGTTTATTTCATTTTATTTAGTTCTGTTTCTTAGACCGCGTATATCAGGTTGTCTTCAAGCTGTATTATGCCACCACGTGTAGATAAGCTGTGTCAAATTGGAAAAGCCTTATCCCAGTATAGACCAGTCCGATTAGACGCCATAACTGCGGTGGCACCACACTCACACGCACATTCTTTATCTTGACGGGCGCGTACATTTGGCAAATCACGACACCCTGTTGGTCGAAGAGGCATGTAACGTGCGCACACCACCTGTCCACGAGCGTTACGGCACCACAGCAATGGCTTCTAATTCTGCTGGTCGAATTACGCTATACAGTGAAAGTTGAAGTTAATTGAAATAATTCAGAGAATAAGTACCAGGATAACCGTGCAACTCTCATCACAGTACTTCTGTACATGTCCAAGTGTATGGACGTCATTTGAATAGTGGCGTAACTCGGTGCTGGAAATTGGGAGATGTGGGATGATGGGGAAAGGCGGGGGAAGACTCGCCTGGCTATGAAAATTTGAAGGGGGCTACACCATATACACTATTATTACAGGGGGCAGTGTGCATGATAAAGATGTACATCTGTAATGTGTATCTTACATCAAAATGGCATGTTTATGGCTTTATAAAATTGTTTTCCCTTTTCAGGGATATTGCAAACATTTTAGTCGTTGGGAAATCCTAAAAATTCCTTGCAATCCGCTATTTTGCTCTTCTCAAAATAGTGGGAGGAGTGATTCCATAGCCCATCCCCCACTTCAAAAAGTGTGGGGGGTAGGCCTAGGTACCCCCATCCCCCGGGATTTACCCCCGTGCATGTGAAAGCACAAAGTTGAATGCTTTGATGAATGACAATTCAATCTCTTCACAACGTATTGTCGTACAGAAGCTGCCTAATAACATTTCCTTTAGCAGTAAACTCAGGGAAAACCATACCGTCCCTTCTTGTGACGGGAAGCTGAGTTTGTCTAAGTGAACTGATCAACATTTTTAAGTGCCCCTAACCAAATGGTTCTGTGCTCATTTCTCCACTTGTGCTAACAGTAACAACGCTACATGCCCCAGAAATCCACAAATAACCAAAAGTCTACTAACCGTTCATTGTCTGCCAAGTAGGAACTATTGCCAGCTGAAATGTCAAAGCCCATAACCAAATGTGCATACGCTGAAATCGAGAGATCATCAGACGTGATTTGTGTTGAGGAATCATAGCAGGTGATTTTCCTACAGTTGAACCAAAATGAAACAGAATTTATTTAAGGGTAAACTGTTTATCTGTGCAATTTTTCAGATATTCTTTGGGGTAAACCTGAAGCTCTGAAACTGGTCAATTTGAAAACTATTCTGCTGTAAACTTTTCTAAAATATATTGATTGGAGCCAGGAAAACTTTTAAAAAAATCTTTTCGTTTTCAGCCGACAAGTTGTCAAAGTACATTGCCGCCCCAGGCATTTTTTGGCAAGTTTTTAGAATAACTGTTCGCGGATGAAGTACCAGTTGTAGGTGGAAGCGGGGTGTTCATGAGAAGAAATTCGCAAAAATGGTATTTGGTGGACTGGTGTTGTTAGTTTACGTCTAAGGCCTAGCCAGAACCACTGTGACCTTTTTGATCAGTACGTTGTTAAATGAAAGTCTGGATCGAATTCCCTGCTCTGTAACATTTCCATTCCAGAGTCCAGCATCCTTCCTGTGAGATAACCCCGGCGTTCTGGGGTCTGCAACGATTAAGCCTTGCGTCGTCTTTCCTGCTGGACCCGTGTGGAATTCACTATCCCGGAATTTCTGTCCCGGTTGAACTATTACATATCTCAATGTACATGTGGGACCGTAGCTATAAAGTGGAATCAAGATGGAGCACTTTAAAGTGCATGGGAAAACTGTTGGACTTCTGGGCTTGTTAACTCCCCCCTCCACACACTTACCTTACATACCTACTGTGGACATTCTTTTCTCTTTGTGCAGTTCAGAAAACTCAGTGAAAATACTCGTTTTTCTTGAACAAGGAACACGATTTTAAACTGGCTTTTTGTACAAGGTTTCCTTGACTATTCCTCTTCCTTTTGCGACACATGACCCCGACCCCAAAATACCTCCAAACCTCTTTTTCAGCGAAGGGGAAACGTCCTGTGGACATGTGTAACTTCACAGAACGTCTTCCTGCATCGTGTGGACACCTTTTGTTCACAAGTTCACACTAGGTATGTAAGGTTAGCGCACCCACACAGACCCCACCGTTACAAAGCGCACCTCGATCATCCAAAGTTGTGTCCGGTTTTGTGAACTTCAAGCTGCAAGACGCAGTGAGGTATGAGATACTGGAACACACCTCAGTCGCAGACAGTTCTTTCTGGGTTGGTGAATCGAAAAATCGGGATGTCTGGTTGGGAAAACAGCAAGAGAGATGCAAAACTTTGAGAATGAGGACATACCTTGTGTGTGCGCTGTGACGTGCCTTGGCCAGATCGTATCAGTCGGGTATAGTAAATCGCACGGGGATAATTGTCAACCTGAACGAACTAAGAAAAAAACAGTGTTGCCGTGTACGGCCCAGACTTCGTTCTGTGACTGAAGGACGGTAGGTTGGAACTATTCGCGGAAAGGGTTTACCAGTTTCGATTTCGCGGTCTGCTCCTGTTAAGGGGCGTGTATAATGAATTCACCTACCTAGTCACCACTGTATAGTGGTTGCAACCGCCTTAATTAATTGGGGGAAAATTAATTTGAACCCAAAGACTGTAGTTTTGCCGTAATACGTTCCAAATATATATATATATGTAGCGGCTAAAGAAATCATGGGAGGCGCTCAGTACCTGTACTTTGCAGTTAGTTTGTTGTTCAAGAAGCAGGAGTGAGTTTTGGATCCAGACGACACAAGCTCAGACTGAATCGCACCAAAGGTCATTCAAGAACTAAAGGACTGCTTGAGGTCGGCCCGTGTGCTGCTTAGCTGTATAGGGTTACTCGTACGCGCTAAATACATGCACGTTCGAACTCATCGTGTGACGTCAGTTGCTTTGTTCTCGAATGACGACACCTTTTCAAATTACCGGCTCATTCCAAATTAATCAGCATTGAACATTACATTCCTCCAAGGACAATGTGTGGCCAATAAAAAAGCTTTGCTGTATAAGCTGTAACCTGCACGATTATCCGTTTGCTGTCTGTGATAATTCAGATAAAAGTGTATAAAAATGCCTGACAGGATATTCTGTTCATAGTCGTTTCGAAAGAAAAGGAAGAGGGGACGTAGCTTTAGCATTCAGCTTCGCTAGATTACATTTTATTTCCCTTGTAAACGGTTCTGGTGCAAAACAGTTACTTTGTCAAGATTTTATCATTTACATATTTGAATATTAACAGGAAACCAGTGTACAAAATATTCATGCTTACAGGAATTCATCAGCCACATTCGGATATTCTGTAGAGTATAACACATGGAGTAAAAGGTATATGTCTTTGGTGGAATGTATTAAACCTGCTGTCTTACTCCAAGACAAGCTTCATGCTTTTAAACATTCGCGTATGGATATGCATAGTGACACAGAAAAAAAGTCATTAATTTAAGCCTCTCTGAACCATTCCTCTTGAAATATGCTTTGTTGGCCCCCTATACTGTTTGGTGACAAAAAACTCTTCAAACATAACTGCATAAATCACTCGGAAAGTTCGATGTGGGCACTTTTTTCACACTCTGTGTAAAAAAGTAAACAATGGAGTGATAAAGAGCTGTACGTCAATTTCATAAGAGACGACGACGACGAATAATGTACTTCTTTTTTGTAATATAGAAACTGTATCATAAATCGTAATGAATTAAATTTTAGCCTACAGTGCATGTACTGTAACAGCGATTAATTCCCATCGATCGATCGAGAGTTCAACCTCTCGTGATTCAGGCAGCTGTCAGTATACCATATGATGCAAGATATGTGGCAAAGGGGGACTCCCCTCTATTTTGTCTTCTTTTATGTTGGTGGAATCTTTGGAATTCCTCTCAGATTTCCAGGGGGTGCAGTAGGCACAATAGCCTCAGGGTATTCCACTTGTGCATCACATTAGGGGGGTCCCCTTTCCCACATATTAGGCTGGGTATCTACAAAGTCTTTTAGTCTTCCATTGCATGATAAACGGCTCATCCGGTGGTTGGCACAAGGTTTGTTTTCTATTCGTAAATGATATTTTCTACCCAGCTGGATTTTTCTTCCATATTCTGTGGCGGTCCAGTGCTTGTTTGTCCGTCTGAATCGTTAATTGTCGCTTCAGGCTCGACTGGAAACGATTCACATGCGTACAGCGAGTTTTCAACCCACCCACTCTCCTGGTCACGTGATAAAGACACAAAGCCTGCGTTGTGTGATTGGTTTTCAGGCGAGTCCTCTTTGACAGGGCTAGTGACGTCATCGGGAGTGGCGTACAGGTCGTCACAATCGGTCTTTCTTTTGATGACCTGACTGTAGATGGGTGGAGGTGACTGCTCCGGCATTGATTGGCTTACCACCTCCGGCAGTCCGTACGTATTGTTGATGAAATTTTCTCCAATGGTTGCCATGGCAACAGCTGGGTCCTTCTGTCTTGAATTTTTCCTGGAAAATCCACAAGATATCTTTGAGAGTTTTTTTTTAACTTGACTGAATGTATAATCAATTAGGTCACGTTAAGTGACAGAAAAACGGAACATCAGGAGATCTTCCAGATTTCGTATCTGAGGTTTCAGTGCTTCGGTTTGTAACAAATCGGTGTCATTTTTTCATAGAGAATTGGTTGGTTTGCTGGATATAATGACATCATAACATAATGATGCATAGATTAAGCACCAGTTGATTCGATGTCTTCATGTACCTTTTCTTCACGCAGAGCAAGATTGCTAACAGTCCCAGTGCCACAAGTACCGCACCGCCAACTGCTATTCCAATTATCATTTCTGTGGAGGACAAAGAGATTAGAGGACTGAGCTAAAGCATGAAACAACAGGAAAAGGGATATCGGGAAGAGAGATACAGACATGTGTTAAAGTCATCCCAAGTCAGTCACAAGCCTATCACAGCTCACGTTTCAGCGCGTCGTAGAATTTTTACTCGAGTCGAGTCGCGCCATTTGAAAGAAGTGACTCGATGCAAATTGTGGCACTTGGTCAAGAAGGAAGGAAGTTGAGTCACATTTATTTATGGACGTTTTTAAATTTCTCCCAGGTTTCATTGTACAAAGGGATTCAGTCTGGATTCAGTATTTATACCTTGATATTGTGACATGCGAGTAAGACTCCAGTTTTTAATGTTCGGTTCTATTTACGGATGAGACCCCTGCCTCCTACCTGTTTTCAACGCTCCAACGTTTGGGTTGTTCGTCCCGGGTGTCTTGCTGCTCGACCGCGTCAAAGAGGGCGCTCCTGCCGCTGTCAGAGTCCCTCTCTCATCAACAACAGTACTTTGCGGAATCGTGGTGGTGGGCACATTTGTCGTAAACTCGGACGTTGTTGTTGGAACTGCCAAAAGTGGGATGCAAACATGACTGTAAAGCATTAGCCTCCGATTGCCTCAAATTCTAATTGCGAGTTGTTGGTTAAATTGGGACGTATTTAAACTGCTCTTCAGTGTCTTTCTTTTAGCATGCATGAAGCAGTTTCTTAGACTGTCCATGTTTTATGGGCATTTACGTTTTACCTGCACGGTTACTGAGGATTTAAGATTGAATTTTGGTTCTCCCATTGGTAGAACTATTAATTAACTCTCCGAAGTATCTTGAGTTAGTGGTTGGTTTTCGTTGAAGGAACCTGGTACATACCTTGACAGGTCGGAACCGAGTCACTCCATGTGACGTTGTTGTAGCCCGTGTCTATGCATTCAATGGACGAGGCTCCATGAAGAGTGTATCCAACGTCACAGGAGAAATCCACACGAGTCCTGAAGAACTTGAAGTTGTTGAGATTGTAATCCAGTGAACGTGGGTTGTTGATGGTGTGGTCTCCGTTGGTCGGTGGTCCAATATCATTACTGCACACGCCTTGGGATACTACAGGGATCAATACGAAGTTGTCAAGACTTTTAATCTCAACAACAAGCGCAGTTCGTAAAGCCAGCCAACAAAATACTCAACAGCTTTTACTCGATTCAGCAAGATACCAGGCGAAATTTAGATGGTTGGTGCTAATTCGTACCCAGCATCCTAAAATGGTGCAAATTTGTACCCTAATTTGATGTGTGCACCATCTGCCTGGGTGTGCAATATCATACCGGGGTACACACATACTGGGGTGCCATTTCACACCCATAAGGGTGTTACATCAACGACAGGGTTGGAAATTTGAAGTGTCCTTTTTTTTAGACTGTTGTCTTACTTCTGTACACGGACAGCCTCCAACGGTCCCCGCAGATCTGGTCGCTGTTCCCAGGACACTTGTCTTGACAGTCAGATTCCGGCTGTCTCCCGTGTTTGTCATAGTTATCGTTATCCCCGCAGTAACATTCAGTTGTGTATTCGAGTCCAGCGTATTTGTGCTGCCTTGACCGACCCTCCAGACAGTATCTGAAGCACCACTCTACCGACTGTTCGTAATAGTCTTCTCCAAAACCGGCCGGGAGTGCACGATCATAATCATCTCCGAAACATCCCAAGTAGCCAGGAGCTGTTGGGCAAAGAGAGATGACATTTCAAAGGAACCTCATGCGTGTAAACGGCAATCTGACAGGTCTTTACGACGAGGATTCATTCGGTATTGCAATATCTACCCGTCCCTTCCTATGTCTACTCCCAACGAAAGCTTGGAAAGACTAGTAATAACCCACGATGCCTCTCGAGCCCAGCGTTTAGGAAGGAAATCTGATCCGGTTTTTTCTATCAGTGTACAAACCATAAGTCGAAAATGGGGTTTCTGACGGGTACAAGCAAAAACTATCTGTTCAAAATAGTTTTACCTGCCCCACGGAAAGGCCGGACTCGGACAGGTAGCTTAATGCGACCGCGGAGACTCCGAACCTTTACAGGGTAACCACACAGTTGTCAGCGACACTGCAAACTGCCAGGATTCTGACCCTGTTCGGGACAGGTTATATTTAAATTCAGACTTTATTTTACATGAGAACCTCGTGAAGGTGTTTTCAAAATCATAAAATCGGGGGTTGAAGCCCAGTTCCCTTTCCTTCGTCTCGTAGTTTAACTGTGTCTGATGTATCGCACCAGAGATAGACGGTAATTGGAACTGATGCACATTACTGCAAGGGGAAAATAGTCTGTTTCACTTCTAGCTAGCCCAATTCTTTGAAATATATACCCAGTTAATTGTTTGGGACTTTGAAATATTTGGTGTCATGTAAGTGGAGGCCTATTGGCGCTTGAACTTATATAAATACCGATGAAGACCCGAAAGAATATGTTTAAACTTCTTCTGTAATGTAAAAGAAGCATGAGTGATATTGGACGAAGACAAAAAACTCACCATTAGCCTGCTCAGAGAGAACAACCGCAAGTTGAAAGGTCATCCCCCATAGCAACCCGCGCAAAGGTTGTGCAAACATCACCCCTCTTTGTTTCGTCATGTCTTCAAAAATGTCTCCTGCATGTAATGATAATTATATCCCCCTTTTACACCAAACAAGATTCACCACCAAGAGTACTAGTGACCTCGATGGAACCATTATAGAGCTACAGTAGAACTCATTCCCAAACTGGTCCGGAAAAAAGGGTGACACGTACCACATAAAATCACATGACATATGGCTTGTGCATGTACTAGGCTGGATTGGAGTACATGTACATGTATTTCGTGCTGCAGAAAGGTGTATACATGTACATGTACTGTAACGGTGTACGTGTACATGTACATGTACATGTACACCGTTAACATAACCAGTGGGGATCACCGTTAGCGGTCGATCGGTGGGTCAGTTGCATGAAATTACAAACCGGACCCGGAAAATGATTGCGCTTAACCTTGACCGCAAAAGATCATGGGAGTCATGTAGCTGGAAGTTCACCTATCGCCCAGTTCGATGTTTCAAACAGGCAAGGTTATTCGAGAACGAAATACGAATGCAGTGTCGGCGCTGACATATGCAGGCCTCGTGCGCGACGTCGCATCGCTGTTCCCGCGCGACCTCGGTCGCGCTTTATTTTGTGCATACACTGTTCAAAGTTGAAGTTATTGGGTCATTGCCCCGCGTTTGCTTACCAGCTCGCCGCACATTTTTTTTTCTTTAGCCATGCAAATAACTTTCTTTCTGCGCAGCATCGTCTGCACCTACTAAATGGTATTGATTTCATGGACCAAATTCCGCGTTTAAGCTCAGAAAAGAATCAGATTTAATCTAGGCCTGAATGCTACGTCCCAATTTGTATAGATTACAAATATACAATAGATGATAGCACAAATAACGGCTACTTATCCGTCCTCTTTTTTTCAGAATGAGGAAAATAGTTTTAGAAGTCAAATGCTACTTTTTATTGGTACCAGCTTAGGTTATATTTGCTTCGGAATCCGAAATCATTTGATCTGAAAGTCTCCCAAATTTAAACGAAACGTAGACAACTCACACGTATGCGCGCTTTGAGCGCAAGCGCAAAGTTAAGTTGGTTCAAGTTGGATTTTCACCCAGTATAGTCCCACCAGTTCCACAGTTTTCCTGGTCATCCACGGGAGTGGTGGTAGATTGAAGTCGTTTTAAACGAAACACACCAAACTCACCTGAAGTGTCTTTGCCCAAATGTCTTCAAGTTTGCCCAAAGCTGAGCCTTTCGATTAAATGCGTAGGGCTGCCTCTGTGCGTGCACGTAGAACTTTCGTAATTATGCAATAAACTCCGGATATCATCATTGAAGGTTGGGTCACATTACCCGATCACGATGTACATGTAGGCCTACGTCCGCCTATGCGTACAAGTAATAGGCATTTCCTCGCGGTTGAAGAGTCAGTTGGAAAGCATTGTGAGATTAAGTTCTGTTCCCAGAAAATGCTATTGAACGCCTCTTATACAAATCACGTATGTTTCAGAAGGAAACTTTATTAACTGCGCATGTCCCGTTTTTAGGGTTATTTGAATGCGTATTGAGGGCCACGAGAATTCGTGCCAGGCAAATGAATGCTTCATTTAACGAAATTTAATTCTTATTTTCACTTTTTGGAAAAAAAATTCCTGCCCAAAATATTTTCATGGTAAGATAAGGCTTTTCCAAAAGTGTTTTGTGAAAATCAAATTGAGAAATAGTACAAGAGTGGTCAAAACAAGTGATTTTTGTGAAAACTTCTTTTCGTAATCGGCAGTTGGTTTACGTTTTGATGCGATTTTTGAAGGCTCGAAACAAAGAATTCGAAGTTTTCCTGAAGTTTTAAAAGTGGGCTGTGGTGGAGAAAGGTGTGAAGGTTTTAGATTTTCTGGCGGTTTTTCGATTTTTTTCTCTTCCCGACCAGACACGTTTGCATATCGACCTGACTCAGCACCGATTCCGTTCATCCCGCATAATCTTACGGCCTCGCGAGCGTAAGAATTCAGTGACTCGGGAACGAAAGACGAATACTAAGTAAGTTAACAAGTTTATTATTGAAGTTTAATGAAACCGAGGTCTATCTGTCATTACAAAATTGCCAGGGAAATGTTGAAATTCGCAGTATATCCCCAGTTTGACACGTACTATACTCGTATAAAGGAAGCGTTTAGAATGCAGTTCTTTAATTTAATAAATGAAGTTCTGCCTTTTTATTTGCGAATCTCAGAATTCTTTTTCGAAAATAATTTGCCTATTCAATAATTAATCGAATACCTGAATATTGAATACTCGGCACAGCGCTCAGACACCGCTCTCAACCCTCTCTCAGAAGCGATCAACGCAGTGCACCTGAAAGTCATGAACCCGGATATATGCTTGACAATCAAGATATCGAGAGTCCAATATGATACAAATCTAATCTCCTTAACAACATTGTCATTGACGAGTTTTGTTTGTTCTAAATCAACATCATGTAGTTTTTTTATTTTGATAGTTTTAATAAAAATCAGGTGGAATATTACCCCCGGTATGCTGCGGAGTCGCTGAATAGGAAAATCGGTCTCAGTATTACTCAACTCTGAACAGTGGCTCGGTAGCAAACTCACTCGAATCCATTTCTCTCAATCGAGACAATAGCCGTCGGTAAAACAAGGAAATTGTTCGCGATATTTCCTCTACGTAAATCGTAACTGGACTTAATTGTCGATGTGTTTACGTGGCACTCTGGACCAGCGTTCGATGCATGGGCCTACCATTCATGCCGCTCGCTTTATTGACTTGAAAGCAGGCATTATGACTTTCGGTTTCAATTTCATTGATTAAGTAATGCGTGGATGGAAACGGAAGGAATCATCAAGAAAACAATTGACAGACATACCTGCCTATATAGGCAAGTGCTCTCTACTAGAATATATGAAAAGGCAGGATGGCTAAGATCTCAATTATGGGGAAATACGTCGTTATACCATTTTGATTAGGAATGGACCGTAGGATCAACATTTCGATCAGGGATGGACCGTAGGATCGACATTTTGATTAGGAATGCACCGTAGGATCGACATTTTGATTAGGAATGGACCCGTAGGATCGACAATTGGATTAGGGGAGCTGAGGGGGATGTCTATAAAATTCTTAATTTTAGGTGAAATTGACGTGAAGAAAGAGATGATTCAAACTTCTCTTAACAGCTTAATAATGACTTCATTGGCATGAAATACGAAAATCAAACAAGTAAAAAAAGACTCCCTCTCCAAGGCCAAATTTCTCATTGTTATGGTGTATATACAATGTACATATAGAACAATCTTATAATACCGACAAGATTGTACCATGTCTGTAGGCTTATGAATTCGTACGAAAGGTATCTTAATGCGTTTTTTGCATTTAACTTTACTACAGTATATTAACTGAAAGGTTTTCAAATTTGGAAACCATCTACATGTTTATTTATAAACACTTTTTTATACACGATATAGCGCTAGCAAGCTGCAACGTCATGGTATAAAAGGAAGGTAAAGTACTGAAATTTCATGATATTCTTTGTACCTGTCTACTGCAGTAAATCAGTGCTTAAACATACTTTAGTGTTTTTCCACCACAGTGGAAAAATATTGAAAGGGAAGTCTGCTACGCACAGGGAAAGAATGACTTCCTCCTGAATAAGTTTGAGTCGTGTGCTTTGGCCATTTTTGTAATAAGGTGTAAAATGCTAAGGAACAAATTTATTTTAAGACTATAGAGCTTGAATTATGTATTTTACTTTGAATCATTATTAACAACAGAGCATACATGTAACAATATGTACATGGAGGATGTCAGCTGATCCGTTAATATTCACACCTAACAAGCTCATTTTTGTTCATCGCTCTGAACAAGGACAATATTGATATAAGTATAGTTTAGCCACAGACACATTATTTGCCTGACCCTTATCTCCCAGTGCGCCATAGAATGCATCAGATTGTCCTTGTTAACATTAACTTACTGGATGTGGTTCCCAAGATAATTTTTTTTCAGTAATATGGATTTCTTTTGCTGTAATGATTTCTCGTTGTTTTCTTACAAGGAGTCAGACAATATCCCGCCATTAGGCACGGACGTGTATAATAAAATCTGGACTCGCAATGTCCTTAATCAGCTTATGGAGTCATTAAATCCACTAGCGGCCATTTTACAAAGCCGAACACAAAGATTGCCCGGCAATGCCCACCTTTGTTCTTCCTGACGTCAATAGAAGGGAGCCAACCGACGCATTTGTATTCGGCTCGGCAAAATGGCCGCTGGTTGGCTTATTTTTTATACGAAGGCGTTGCAAGTCCATGTTTCTTAGGGCACAGAACAAAAAGTATAACATCACGAATGAGATGTACACTAATTGAGAAGGAATCCGAGTTTTGTCGTAGTACGTGTTTTCATTAATCTCTCGTATGATTGCTAAACACCATAATTACTATAGGGCTCGATCGCTTGGGATATCTCTTTCATTCGTAGATGGTATTTTCCACCCATCCGGGCTTCATATCTATTGTCAGTGGTGGCTGTGCGTTTGTTTGTCCGCCAGTATCATTAATTGGTCTTGTGTCGACAGGAAATGATTCACACTCGTACACTGTGTTCTCGACCCACCCATTTTCGTGATCGGGTGATGCACTCCCAACGTTGACGTCACGTGACGGTCTGGGAGGTTCCTCCTCTTTGCGTGTGCTGGTGACGACATCAGGAGTTGTGTACACGTCGTCATAATGGGACTTCTGTTGGATGACGGTACTGTAAACTGGTGCATTAACCTGATTCGAAACAGACTGGCTGACTGTCTCCGGCAGTCCGTATGCATTGTTAGTGTAACGGTCTCCAGTCTTTGCCAATGTCACATGTGGCCTCTTCTTTCTTGTATATCTTCTGGAAAATTCAGAGAAGTATCTTCAAAAGGTTAACGCGTGTAGTGCCTTAAATTTCACCAATGCATATAGAAAGAATTCGTAAGGGTTTTCTCAAAACACGAGCATATAAGATCTGAATGATCTTGTTGATCATACCCTTGTATGTTCATTTTCTGTGGGAGGGGATCCCTTTTTGTCACCATAGCCACTATGCACATTAGCAATTTATTATTAGTAAAGTGTCCATGTAGGCCATTTATCAAGCAGATATTCACAGATAAAGACTTGAAGTTAATAGAAATTAAATATCGCACGATTCTTTTGCATGTACCTTTTCTTCCAAAGAAAGATTGCTGACAGTACTAGTCCTATGACTACTCCGGCTCCGACTGATATTCCTATTATTGTTGCTGTGGAGAGAAATAGGACAATAGGACAGTGATCTTATGTAGTTTTATCAGGAAATGTGAGGTGGAAAAAGCAAATGCACGGAAGACGCCTTGTGTTTAAATTAACAGGATAAAGTCGATCACAGGACTCGTCTTGTGAATTAAACGTCAGTTCACGCGTTATTCAAGTGAACTGTCACCAAGGTATTCTGTAGTTGACCAGCCAGCGATTTGATTTTATGTTTGTGATGTTCGAACGGTCTTTGATTAATTAGATAGCAACTCTGTCCGGCACGTGAAGTGTCTATGGCATATTTGTACAGGTTAGGCATCGTATGGGTAAAATGTGATGTCCAGGTGAACCATGCCTTGGTATAGGTCGTCAAACTCATTTGTCAAACGATTGGAAGGAATTGATTACACGTTTTCATGGGTCAGTTGTTCTTTGCAATTATAGGTATTCTCAACGTGAAAATGATAATGAGAATTGTATTCGTCCGTATTTCATGCAATGGGTGAACAGCGCGCTTGAATCAGAGAGGAGCAAGCGCCTTGAAGGATGTCGTTGCTAGGCGACAAAGCGCCCTTTGTTGTTTATTCTCCGAGTCTATAACATTGAAATGGTTTTGTGATGAAAGTATAATGAAAGTACGGTACCCCATTTAAAAAACAATTTTACAAATCGATTTGTTCCATTTTTTCTCCCTTTCCTTCGTTTGTATATGGACGCTTCCTCGTACCTGTTTTCAGCTTTCCTGTGTTCGGGTTATTCGGCCCGGGTGTGTCTCTTTTGAAACGCGTCGAAGAGGGCGTAGTTGCCACTGTGCTGCTTTGGAAAGTAGTGCTAGGCACGGTTGTTGGTACTGCAAAGAAGTTTGTCGGCACATAAATAATTTCTGGTCTTGGATTTTGAGGGAGATTTCCCTCGACAAAGCATGTGCTCATTCGATCTACCCGACCGTCTGTGTATAACAAGCAAGTGATTAAGTGGCTGTATGTGATCTTGATCTCGTACACAGTAGGTGCGGTAGTCGAGACCACCATGCCACAAAAACAGACTGTAAGACCATCTACAAGACAAGCCAAAAGTTACAGGCTGAACGATCACAAAAGAATGCTTTCGTTGCAGTTCATTACAGGAGCTTGTGACTTGAATTTATTCTAGGGGTTTTGTGAGGTCGTGTAATGGTCTGGAGAGATTTCGACTACAACACTGTATTAGCAGAAATTCTTTATTTAACAAAGGAGGCAGAGTTTTTTATCCGTTCTTGAATGGTAATGATTGTACATTTCATTGTGATACTTATTTTGATGAAACTTCAATTCAAGTTTATACGTGATCCTTATAACACCCTAAATATGGTGGTTTAACGGTATTTCAATTTAAGTTAAACGGTTCAGGCCCAAAATCGAGGATTGATTTCCTACACAGACATCAGACGGAGATGAAGTTGAGTATTGGAAAACGGCCCTGTTTGTTTCACACGGATCATGATCTCAATCAGTGATTCCATAGCTGGTTCGCTCCATCCATCAGGCAGGCTTTGTTGTCAGTGAAAAGGATCGCCGAAAACGATCGGGATCCGTATGAATCAACGAGCAGGGGAGATACCTTCACAGCTTGGTACGGATTCACTCCACGTGACGTTGTTGAAGCCAGTGTCTATGCATTCAATGGACGAGGCTCCATGAAGAGTATATCCAACGTCACAGGAGAAATCCACTCGAGTCCCGAAGAACTTGAAGTTGTTCAGATTGTAAGACAGTGAACGTGGGTTGTTAATGGTGTGGTTTCCATTATCAGGTGGTCCAATATCATTACTGCATACGCCTTGCGAAACTGGAAATAGATATGAACTAGTCAGTTTGTTTTGAAGCGTAAAATCAGGGCATCCAAAAGGGGGGAGCCTGTTTAGAAGATGATTTGTTCATAGGTTGGACAAACATTATCCAGACAATCGTACCTATTTAAGGAGACTCAAGTCAATACCCCCCTCAAAAAAACCGGTCTTGCCAGAACTGGCAAAGCCGTAACAATTTTTCTCGTTGTTTACCAACAGATACAAACGTGGACTGTCTTAATAACTTGAGCAGCATGCACGAATAAGCATAATCCCGCTAAATCCATGTAAACCACTGATCTCTAAGCACCAGCTGGTTTGCTCGTCGAGATATAATGTCATGACTGATGCAATTTTAAAAAGAGGCCCAAGATTTCACTCCTAGTGGTCGTACGTTCTGTCGATGACTGATGAAATCCATTTCGTGTATAAGCTCAGGATTTTTATATACCGGTGTGGCGGTCTCAGCTGTCTCCCGGTCTCAGCAGTCCCTCTGAATAGCCGGACATTAAACGGACGACTTTCCCGTTTTTGTGCGCAGAGACGGTATGACGTATTTTACCATATTTGGTAAAGGGAACAGCTGAGACCGGGAGACAGCTGAGACCGCCACACCGGTCTTTCGGTAACGTTAAATATTGCTATACTTGGAAAGCTGTAGTCGGAGTCGGCAGGGGTTCCTTTTGTGCGCAGCAATCGGCGCAAGAGTATTCCAGTTGGTATATAAACTATGAAGGTCGGTGATGTTAGACGAAGTTTTAGGAATCCAGTGAAATTCATCAGGTTTAAACAATCGCTTTCTATCAAACATATACTGTAGTTTGTAGTGTAATCATGAAGTTATCCCCAAATGGAATTTCCGACTTACGGTTGCAAATCTGTGTATGATTAGAACAGGAATCTAGTCTATCATGTGACAGAATTCTCGTCTTACTTTTGTATACGGAGATGCGCCAGTAGCCTCCACAAAACTGGTCAGTGTTTCCTCGGCACATATGGTCGCAATCAGAATCTGGCTTTTCCTCGTATTTGTCATTATCGTCGTCGTTCCCGCAGAAGCATTCGCTCGCGTATTCGAGTCCAGCGTATTTGTACTGCGTTGATCCATCCTCTAAGCAGTATCTGAAGCACCACTCTACCGACTGTTTTTCACCGTCTACTCCAGGACCGACCGGGAGGACACGATCACTACTATCTCCGAAACATCCCAGATAGCCAGGAACTATATATTGTGCAAATTTTAAAAAGATATTGAATAACATGTACTATGTCATGTACCTTGGAATAAACCAATACACATTTTTGTATGTCACTCTGGTAATCAGCAAGGCTATTAGTTATGTGTTGATTTTCTGACGAGAACATCTCATGTGGCTGAATGAAAATGTGGAATCCATCTGGGAAGTCCACTTGAAGCAGTCCAGTAATTATTATATATTTTCAGGAGGAACACCCCTTCAAAAATAACGACTAGTGTTGCTTTCAAATTTTAGAGAATCCCGCAAGTTGTATGTTGTTTTTTGGTGGGGGGGTTCATAAGTCTAAATCCGCAGAAGTCTTTTTAATATCTCTGAACACTTTGTGAAGGATTTTGAATGGATTTGTTGAGTGTATAGAGCCGAGTTGACACTGTAACTTGAATGCCAAGAGTAAGACGTCAATGCGCATGTATTCTCTGAATGCCGTTGAAAAAAAGCTTGAAATTAAACAGGCAAACTCACCATTACCCTGCTCCGAGAGAAAAAGCATAAGTTGAAAGGTCATTCCCCATTGTAATACACGTAAAGATGTGAACATGGCCCCTCTCTTCATTTTGTATCTTCTTCAGAATCTCTTGTGAAATAAATCCCGTTACACTGGATCACTGGATGAGAACATTGAAAGAAAAGTCATAATTGCTCTGACAGCGAGCATTATAATGCTGGGCCGGAGAACTCCCAGCCAAAAAACGTCATTTCTCGGGTGTCCTCTTTTCTATAACACAACGATTTGACACAAATCTCTTTAGTGATCGGGCTTTGACGAAATGATAAAATTACACGAAATAACAACCCAAGCTCGAAAATTTAACTTAGGCTTACTTTCGCCCCAGAATGTTGCTATCAAAAGACCAGGGACCATTCTTTGACTGAAAATCCACGAATGAGCTACTGAATCTTATCGTCTTGAAGATTGTTCTGTTAACCTGGCGCCTTAAATGGATATCTCGATTTCATTTTGCTTTTTCTATTATTTCAATTGTTGCCGATGAGGCAAAGAAGTTTCCACTTTCCATGATTTTTAATCATTTCTTTTGATAAAAACGTTAATGATGATGTTGCGTTTCAATGAATATAAAAATATATTTTGAATGACAAACTTTTAAAGTCGAGACCACTCAACGTCACATCATTTCAGTGATAATACTGAATGGCAACTAAATATTTCAGCAGCAGATGAATACAAAAAACCTGGAAACACCCCCCCCCCGAACTTCAAGAAAGAAAACATATTAAACCTACCTTAAAATGCCGGGACACAGCGAACTTTACCCTGGATTTAGTGCCCATTTACAATGTGCCTACCCGTGTGCTGATCTAATTGACTTCGGTGTCAAATTGGATGGGCTTGAAGAACCTGCAGGCCGGTGACTCGCTGAGCCACTTTTTTCCGAACGATATTTTAGCAGGCGAGATCTCAAGTTAACTGTTGCTTGCAATGTTGTGCTCACATAGACCGCAATAAAATCCATGGGATGAGTCTTGAAACCAACTGTTTTCACTGTGATGCTATACTATAAGCGTAGGCCTTCTAGTTTTTTCCAGTTCTCCGCAACACACAAATTAGCAGGCACTTAGGCACACAGGAAACATTTCAATTTTGAAATATTAGTTAAATGACGTCGCAGTAATGCTGATTCAAACAGTGTCCCTACAAACAATATTCAACGTTAAAACAATGTTGAGTGCCAACCGGGTAGCCCAAGCTGGCAATTGTATTTGCTTCAACATCTATACGTACCTTGCTGTCTTTTCCCATCCGCTATAGGCATTGAAGTTGCCTGTGTAGACACGCTTGCAAATGGCACATAAATGCAAGCGCATTTCAGGTCGTAGTTCTGGTTCGGATCATGTGATCAAGATCAAATTAAAACCATGCACTTCCTCATTTTGGCACGTCATGGACGTGCACGAACCTTTCAAAATTCCTATTTTGAAGGGGAAGTTCAGAGAGAAAAACCTGTTGAAATGTTGAAATTGCTGGATTGTTTGATTTTTGGCCTTGACTGTTCTTGTTCATTTTCAGCTGACAATCTGGAACCCAGAAATCTTTACAGTCGTTTTGTTTTTCAAAGGAAAATGCATGTGCAGACGTGTTCATGTCCAAGGAATGTCTTCAAACCCTGCATTGTGCGGATGTCTTTTGTGCGCAGGTTAAACTCCTGTGTGTGGCAACTGGACTAGTGGACCTCCTATTGTCTTCATGCTGTTCATAATCTTACTTTCGAGTAGAACTCGTTTATAGGGCCTACGTGGTTTTCTGGTCAGTGACCTCCATCCAACCGCTGTCCCAGTTGCTCTTACTGTTCAAACCTGAAGGTCATGGCTGAATGCAGTGAAGCAGTCTTTAGAAACAATTGACTTTCATATGGGCGACTGGTACGTGTGCGTAACAAACATGAATTATAAATAATAGAGAACGTTTTTTGTATGTTTGTATTTCCTTTTTGTTTTCCTTTCTTGTTTAAAGTTCGAGCACATTTTGCCCGCCATGTCAACCAATTCGTGACTTTACAATGAGAAGTTTTCGAAGGGCCGGCCTATTTCAACTGGTGTCGTTAACAAGCCCATCTAAACACGTTTTGTTTTTCCATTATCAGTTTAGTCCTAATTATTGCTTTTCAAAACTGATATTATCAAGAATACTTCACAATAGATCGTTTTTCATCTTACTTTTTGAAGTATATGCAAATAAGAAATACTCTATTCGCTATATGGCGGGACTCTCAACTTTGAAAAAAGTGTTTGTTTAAAAGAGCTTGTGTTGCCAAATCGTTGATTGGCACGCAAACAAGGAAAATGCTTCTTCCGCTACGGCTTTTCAACGTCTAAAGTGAGCGAGGAATTTCACAACCTGTGTCTCACGCAGCTGAGCTCTAAATGGCGCTCAGGCTTATCGCATTGTTGGCCAGGGAGACCACATGATACATTTCAGTTCCTGATAAATAAAAAATGGCGTGAAGATTGATACAAAATGGAAAAATAAAGAACAAGACGGACAACTGCTCGACCGCAATCTCTATTTGGATCTGTTTGGGTTCGGTATTGTGTTGTCCGTAGAAATGTTAATTACGGGTTAGATTTATTTGAAGAAAGAACTAATTCAAACTGCTCTAAATTGCTTAATATGGCTCCCGATCCGACTACCCACCGTTACTTATAAGTGAGACCTGTGTAACTAAATTGCCATGCTCTAACTGTGACGCTAATATATTATCGTATGATACAATACAGTAGGCGAACTTAGAATTGAGGCTTGTTGGAGCCTTCTGTGTGCAAATTTTCGTGACGCTGACCAGCCTCACTAATAAGTATGCCTACGTCATTGCATCATACAAAAATGTATTAGCAGTACAGTTTTTGCGGGCTATTTTGCTGCACGGGCCTCACATATAAGTAGTGGTGGGCAGTCGGATCGGATGAATATTGACTGCATTGGCTTGAAAAAAACAAAGACTGAAAAAGTCTTCTCTCAGAGGCCAATTATTACTTATTATGGTGACTGTAGTACTAATCTGATTTACCGGTGGGTTTATACTATGTCCGTCTTGGTTATAATTATAAGGCTATCTCAATGCGTTTATTACATCGATCATTTTAGTAGCCGCAAGAATATTTTAAAAATTCAAAAGTCAACTACATTTTAATAAACATCTCACTTGTTATACACTATAAAACGTTAGCAAGCTGCAGCATTAAGAGTATGAAATTTCCTGATATTCATGTACCTGTCTACATGCTTGAAATTCGTGCTTAAACATGCCTTTGTGTTTTCCACCACATTGTGAAAAATATTGAAAGGAGGTTTGGAACCCACGAGGACAAAATGACTTCCATCTTAGTCGTGTGCTTTCTGCATTTTTGTCTTAAGGTGTAAAAACGGTAAGTAACAAAAATTCTTTTAAAATTACAGCTTTTATTATCTTTTTTACTTTGCGTGTTGTTAACAAAAGAATAACAATATGTACAGGGAAGTTGTCTTCAGATTCGTTGATATACACTCTGAGAAGCTCAAGTTTGCTCAACGCATTGTACAAGAACAATTAGGTCTCCTTATATAGGCCCTACTAAAGTTTAGTCAAGGACAAATGAATTCGCCTAACCCTTGTGTATCAGCGCTACATAAAACACGTCAGATTTTCCATATAGGCCTAAATGATTGCCAACTAAGATAAAATCTTTGTCTTCGGTGATATGACTTGTCATTTGTTGTAATTATGATTTCTTCGTTTGCTTTCTTACAAACTGTTAGACAATATTCAGATTTAAGGGCACAGAAAAAAAGTCACATCACGAATGAAATGTACATCAATTGAGGGAGAATGAGCGTTCTGCCATTGTAGTACATATTTTCAGTTAGTTGTTCACGTTATGGTTGCTAAACACCTTAATTACAATGGGGCTCGATCGCTTGGGGTATCTTTTTTATTCGTAGATGATATTTTCCACCCATCCGGGCTTCATTTCCATCGTCAGTGGAGGCCCCTCGCTTGTTGGTCTGCCAGAATCATTTATTTTGGGTCTTGTGTCGACAGGAAATGATTCATACTCGTACACTGTGTTCTCGGCCCACCCACTTTCGTGATCGGGTGATGCAGTCCCAACGTTGACGTCACGTGACGGCCTGGGAGGTTCCTACTCCTTGCGTGAGCTGGTGACGTCATCAGGAGTTGTGTACACGTCGTCACAATGCGACTTCTGTTGGATGACGGCACTGTAAACTGGTGCATTAACCTGATTCGAAACAGAGTGGCTGACTAGTCCGTATGCATTGTTAGTGTAACGGTCTCCAGTCTTTGCCAAGGTCACAGCTGGTCTCTTCTTTCTTGTATTTCTTCTGGGAAATTCAGAGAAGTATCTTCGAAAGGTTATTGCGTGTATTGCTTTAAATTTCACCAGTGCATGTAGACAGAATTCGTAAGGGTTTTCTCACGACACGAGCATATAAGACCAGAATGATCTTGTTGATTATCATACCCTTGTATGTTCATTTTCTGTGGGAGATCACTTTTTGCCACCTTAGCCACTATGCGCATTAGAAATGGTCCAATTTTATCAAGCAGCAATTCACAGATAAAGAATTTAAGTTAATAGAAATTAAATATCACACGATTCTTTTGCAGGTACCTTTTCTTCCAAATAAAGATTGCTGACAGTACTAGTGCTGTGACTACTCCAGCTCCGACTGCTATTCCTATTATTGTTGCTGTGGAGAGAAATGTGACAATAGGACAGTGATCTTATGTAGTTTGATCAGGAAATGTGAGGAGAAAACAAGCAAATGAACGGAAGGAGCCTTGTACAGTATTTAAATCAACACAAGTCGATCACAGGACGCGTCTTGTATAGAGTTAAACTTCAGTTCATGAGTTATTCAAGTGAGCCCTCACCAAGGTATTCGTTAGGAGGCCCGTCATTGATCTGATTCTTTGTTTTAATTTTTGATTTACGATCGACCTTTGATTAATTAGATAGAACTTCACAGGTAGGGCAAGGTTGCTATGTCATAATAGACAGGTGAAACAATAATTGTAATAAATTATGTGACGTCCATGTACACCAGCCTTTACTGGGAATGTCAATATCAGTTGTTAAACGATTGTAAGGAATCGATTACAAGTCTTTCATGAGTCAGTGTTGTTCTGTTTAAGTATGTTCTTTGCAAGTCAGTATTCTTAATGTGAAACTGATAATGAAAACATATTCATCCGTATCTCGTGCAACGGGGGAACAGCGTGCTAAAACCAGTGAAGAGCAAGCGTCTTGGGGGCATCGTTGCTAGGCGACAAAGCCCTCTCTTGTCCATAATCCGAGTTTCAAAACTTTGGGAACAGTTTTGTGATAATCGTAATGAAAGTACGGTGAAAGGACGTTTGTATTTGAATGAGGATGCTTCCTCGTACCTGTTTTCAGCTCTCCTGTGTTCGGGTTGTTCGGGCCAGGTGTATCTCTGTTGAAACGCGTCGAAGAGGGCGCAATTGCCACTGTGGTGCTCTGGAAAGTTGTGCTAGGCATGGTTGTTGTTGGGACTACAAATATGAGAAGTTAGTTGACATAAATGTCACGAAAGGTTTCTTGCCTTAAGTTTCTGATGGGGATTTACCCTGCAAATCGAGCGTTTATACAGTCCACCCGACCATCCGTTTTGCAAAACGAATGATAATTTAGAAGGTGTTATCTGATGTATTGTAAACCATTGTTGTAGTCGAGACCATGACAAGACCAGATACACAATTCTATGCTCAGGACAAGTCACAAATAACAGACTGAACAATCACAAACGAATGCTTTTGTTTCAGGTCATTTGATGAGCTTGTGATCTGAATTCAGATTAGTGGTCATGTGTGGTCTTGTAATAGTTTTAATAGGTTTTGTCTACAGTACTGTAGTTAGCAGATATTCATTATATTAAAGCAGAGGCAGATTATTGTATCCGTGTTTGAATTATTATGAAATGTATATTGAATTGTAATTCTCATTTTCGATGAAACTTCAATTCTAGTTGATACCTGATCCTAACAACACCCTGAATATTGTGGTTTAAAGGTATCCTGGGCTTGTTTGTTCCACAGGGATCTTAATTTCGATCAGTGATCCCAAAGCTGGCTCGTTTCAGCCATCAGGCAGGCTGTGGCGTCAGCTCAGTGAACCAACGAAGGACCGCTAATCACGATCTGGATCCGTATAAATCAAACAAGCTTGTGGTTGTGAGGAACACCTTCACAACGTGGAACCGAGTCACTCCATGTGACGTTGTTGTAGCCAGTATCTATGCATTCAATGGACGAGGCTCCGCGAAGAGTATATCCAACGTCACAGGAGAAATCCACATGAGTCCCAAAGAACTTGAAGTTGTTGAGATTGTAATCCAGTGAACGTGGGTTGGTGATGGTGTGGTCTCCGTTGGTCGGTGGTCCAATGTCATTACTGCACACGCCTTGGGATACTACAGGGGTCAAGATGAAGCGCCCAAGACATTTAATCGAAGTTAAATACAAATACTTGAAATTGTTGAGACTGTAAAACAGCGAAGGTGGGTTGGTGATGGTGTGGTTTCCGTTAACAGGTGGTCCAATGCCATCATTCCACATGCCTTGTGATACTGAATTCGAGATAAAATGGTCAAAAGTGCAAACATAGAGTATTCCGAAGTGGGAAGCCTATTTTTTGCCTCTAGATGGAAAAGATTATAAGTTCATTAATTAAGAAAAAACTTTGTGTAGACAACTTTACCCTGTTTTAATACGAAACTCAAACCCAAACCGATCAAGGTCCTTGCCAGATGGACTGTCTCCTGGATAATATGGGCACAACACCCTCATGTTTCATTTGAACCAACCATCTGTAAGTACCGACTCAATTGCTCATGGAGATGGTTTGTGACTTTTAGAATTATAGAGTTAGATTTCTTGTCATAACTGTTACACGCCATTTCCTGCAGTCTTAGCATGTTTATAAAACTTGTTTTCGCCAAGGGTTGAAAGGAAAAACTCTTTTATTTTTTTTAATCCAATGAATTACTAGGTAACGTCCAAAACTACGAACGTGAGAAATTTAGTGTATCTGGTGGCAGGCCCAAACTTCAGTTGCAGAGGCGTCGTTTATTTATATACCGCGGCAGGCGAGCGAGCAATCCAGTCGGCACATAAAGATCAGTGGTATATACCCATTCATTTCCATTTAAACCCTACAGACGACAAGCTTGATGAATCCAGTGACGTTTATCAGTTTGTATATTAAGTTACAACAGACCGAATGCTAATTTCTAGGTATATTTCCAAAATCTGGTCTTGGTCATTGCATAATTGGTCATTGTCCATTAATTAACTAATTATCCCCAGCAAAATCTAAGTTTTGGGGTTACAGTAGACACCTACAAAATCCTGACAGAACGTATTCCGTTAGTTGAGTGAATTTTCATCTTACTGCTGTATATGGATATGCGCCAGTTATCTCCACAGATTTGATCATTGTGTCCCGGACACCTGTGTCGACACTCGGAGTCAGGCTTGTTCCCATGTTTGTCATAGTCTTCGTTACTTCCACAGTAACATTCAGTCGTGAATTCAACTCCAGCGTATTTGTACTTCGTCGAGCTGGACTCCAAACAGTATCTGAAGCACCACTCCACCGACTGTTTGTTGCGGTCTATTGCTGGACCAATCGGGAGGGCGCGATTATAGTAGTCTCCAAAACATCCCAAATAGCCAGGACCTATTGAAAACAAATATGAAACAAATCATATACGCGAAACTGACTACGTACTTATGAATGATTATAAAGACGAACGAAGAAATTGACTGGAGCGGGATTTGAACCTGCGACCCCTGGACTACCATATGAGTGCTCTTTCATTTTTATAATCGAAAGAAAAAAATTAAGAACATTTAAGTCATACAGAACTCGAGGCATAGTAGGCTATTTTGGAGGTCGCCCTGTGATGACAGTAAAATAGAAAGTACATGCACAAGTCAGAAAACTTAAGAAATTCCTGTATTATTGGAAGTTCGTTGTATGACATTTAAACTTGATATTGCCTTGTAAACCAGATGCGAGGCCTTGTCTGGAATTCAGGGACAGGACAAGAAACACGAATGATCAGTATTGCTTTGACTGAGCGCTGTTACATTTCATGTGATCTTTTATTTCAGCTCAAAGCCATCTTTATAAACTGTTTCAGCATGACTGTACAGCAGAAGTCGTGCAGAATTTCGATAGATTTGATGTGTATAGAACCCACTGGAATTTTGGAGACAGATATATGCGCCTGTGTTTCCTGTTTACGATTTTTTCATAGTAGAAAAAGATTGAAATATGGCACAGGCAAACTCACCATTACCCTGCTTGGAGAGAACAAACAAAAGTTGAAACGTCATCCCCCAGATCAACACCCATAAAGGTAGTGTAAACATGGCCCCTCTCTTAATTCATTCCTTGACTTCTTCAGAATTTCCCCTGAAATAAATCCCGCGACAGTAAGTCAGATGGCACCATGTCTGCATTGCTACAAGTCGGGTCAGTGCTAAAAGCTCATTGTAGCAAAAGTGAAATATTTGAAAAACAAATAGGCCTAGACCTCTTAGGGCCTAGGAAATGGATTGGAACAGACTACATTTGTTAAACTTTTATTTCTTGAATTAGTTTTCTGGGACCAATTCATTTGACTTTCAGCAAATATTCGTTGGCAAGTCACAACGCACGAAATTTGTCGACCACTTCCAAACGCGCATTGGGTCTACAGATTTCGCGTGTTGTGATTGGCCAACGCGTTGCAAACTCTTGTAGGCGCACTATCGTGAAACGCCCGTGTTTAACACTTTTATTTTACCTCATTTTGATTACAGTTGTCAAATCTGCTCTCAAATCTATCTTCAAAAATACACTGATAAATTCGTCAATTGCAGAATATGCTGCTAGAATAATTTTAGCAATGACTAATCGGAAACTGAACTGTTTGGTGAATTACGAGAGCTCCCCTTGCAGAAACGATTCCTTTACCTTAAAGCGGTTTTCATGTATAAGCGTGTAAATAATCTTGTTCTTAGATACGGTACCTAACCGAAAACACTGCAAAAGTCTCAGATATCGACGGCCGTGGAACAAGAAGGTCAGCATTTGAATTACTAATGATCCCCGAGTTCAAATCAAACTGTTATCAGCAAGGTTTGTCCGTATGGAACACTTCAAATCTTAACAGAAGATCGTTCCCATCTCTTCATTTATTTTAAGAACTTGGTATTGAATGATCTTTTAACACAAAGAAAATTGTCCACAATGTACATTTTATCTTAAGTGGTTTGTTGTTTTACCCTAAAACATTTGTATTTCAATTTGTATCTTTTTTAGTTTTCAATTTTAGTTTTACTCTATTTCCACCTTTACTGCGCACTTGTTGACTAAACTAAGAAAACAATACCATGAAATAAAAGCAAGGATATTGAGACTGCGAGTAAGGCAACATTTTTTTTTTCTCCCGCAACATCATGTTGAATGAGCCAAAAGCCGCATTTGCGTTTGAATTTGCCCCCCCCCCACACCAAAAGCTGGATACGCCGTTGCTACCAGGTAGGACACAGAAATACGTTGAAATTATATTCAACGCTGAAACAATTAGTGAAGCGAGTCTACTGGAAAATTCCAGGTTGGGTCATTCTACACATTTAGCGCCCGACATGCATCATTTTACTGTCCATGTTAAATCTGACCTTTTGTAATTTTACAAGGAATATATCGATAAAATATATCACTAAAATCGGTTTTAAAATTTGTTTTGCAGGTAATCGGTTTAACCTAATTGCTCTGAGAAATTAGAGAATGCTTTCTTAACTTCAAAAATCATCACTAGATATAACAGGGAGAGGCAAAAATTGGACTCCAAATTTTGAGAATGATCCAGCTTGGAAAATCAAACTGGCTTCAGCATTAAAACGTACCTTGCTTTCTGTCCTGTCCAGTGAAAATTGCAGATGCCTCTATCCGTGCAGACACGCCTGCAGATGCGCCTTTCACATGCGCACTTAAGGTCATAGTTGTGGTTTGGATCGTGTGACCAAGGCAGAATTACTTCCTTCTATGTTTGCAGTTAAATGGTAATCAGGAAGAAGCCTTTCAAAACCATCTTGTTGAAGAGGAAGTTCAATGAAAATAATTCTGTTGAAATCACAGTGGAACGACACTTCGTTAATGCCACAGGGTACGTGAATATATAAATTTGTGAGGATTTATGAGGGCGTCAATTTATGAAAGGCTGGGGACTAGGGCTGACCCTTGCATAAATTATTAAGCACAGGTCCTTGGGTGTGCTGGCTCTGTGCCATTCCCCAGCATACACATCATGCCTATCCCTTTCTTTGCCTGCAAACACTGTTTTCTAGTCGTTGACTCTCACCCAGCCGTTGTTCTGTTGCTCCTGTTTTACTAAAAAAGGTCACGACCGAATGCGGAAACACATTTTGATAAGCAACCGACGCTTGTCTTGGCGACTGGTACGTCATGAACCTGGACGTATTCTCTACGCAATGCACTAAACATAACAGAGGCTGCTCTTATTGTATGTTTCAATTACATTTACATTGTATATTTTTCTCTTTTGTTATTCAACTGGACCTGCACATGCCTCCCGTGACAACCAGGCGCGTTTAGCACGCTTGACGGTAGAGACTTCGAAAGACCGGTCTTATTCATCTTTTCTCGTTAACAAAAGCTTGTCATTTACATGTTATTTAGTTAATCCTAATTAATGCCTCTTCAAAACTAAAACTAATAGGACTACTTCTCAGTGAATGATTCCGATCTTTAAAAGTTTAGAAGTATACAATTAGGCCACAGAATCTTCAGTTTCGATGGACCCTTTACATTGAATAGGAGTCTGTTCAAACGAAGCTGCTTTTGCCAATTCATCGGTTCGTACTTGTTGATGACAATTATATAGGTTATAAGGACTTTGAACGTTTGCAAGGCTAGCGTTGAATTTGTTTAAGAAGGTGGTGTTATATGGTTTATTTTCAAGAAATTGATATTGAGTTCTGTAACCAATTATCGTGGAGAGTGCGTACAGGACGGCGCTGTATGCATGCACTCTATTCTGGTGAAAGCAACTCTGGATCGGAAAGCAGTTTTGCGAAGACTAGAAAGGAGCCGGGCGCAAAACAGATGCAGATTATGTTCATGTACATTCATTGTACAGAAAGCCACGACGGGCCTTTAGTGAGCGAGCATGCACATCAGAAATGCCGGCCGTAATTGACGTCACATGCATCACGCCCTGTATAGAGAGAGTTATGGGTGATATGAGTGGTACTATCCGCTCCGAGTGGGAACACTCGTGCATGTTGTCTCCGGTCCAGCTGCTTTGCAGTTACACATAAACACAGCCGCGAAGGCCTTGACGAGAGGCTAGCTGAATACGGGCAACGAATTTATGCTGCAGTGAAAAATGATCGTATGTGCGCCGAACGTGTGCAGGAAGCCGGTTGGAAAACCTCTCACGAGCCTGTCGTTCTTTCGCCGGGGAGGCTGCACTTCAACTTAGGGCAGATTGTTTGAAACAAACTGGCGGTGTATATGCGCCAGTGCACACGGACAGTTGGTATACAATAGCCGTATATTTGACTGCTCATATAATGAAAGGCGCCGAAGCTATTCTCTCCATAGAACTCTGATCACGCTAAAATTGTAGCGTCGACGGAGCCCGTCTCTTGTGTCACTGGAAGCTGTTTCTTTTCTTTCGCAATACCTGATAATGTTACAGATTCTAAAAAGCGACGCCATCGGTCACATTGTAAGCTTCTTTTCAAAAATGTTCCAAAATTTCTCAAAAGATAAGTCATCTTTTGCATAGAGACACATAATGACATTATGATAAGTGTGTAATTTATGTCAACATAGAACACAAAAACATTTCATAACCATAACAGTTAGAAACCTTTTGAGTTGATCTTTAAAAAGGCCATCTTGGCAAGTAACATCAATTCTTATACTCCGTTACAAAGCGCAGAAAGGACATTTAATGTCCAATATAGTTTATCGTTACAAGGGCTGATAATTTCCTATTATTGTCAACTAGAATACACCTTACAATGTGACAAAAATCTATATAGAATGTCCATTATGATACACCGTTACAAAAGCTAGTGCGGTAATAAATGTCAATTTTATGCAATAGAAAGGGGGCTGAGTGTTAAGAGGTACCGTTAGATACAAGTGGACGACTCCGTAGAATGTACTACATGCATGCCATATTTAGATAATAGGCTATACATGTATCTGTGAGAGTAAGCCATTCATTGGGACTGAATTATTACGTTTAGGCATAGCTTTTAGTAAGAACTTTTTTCTTGCGGGTGAAATACACTGTTGTTCCCCCACTCTAGGAAAAGATTTAAGGGTTGGGTTGAGAAGAGCAGCTGAATTTAACCAATTAATACCAATATGGAAAACTTCACATGTTATGTTAGCATACCATGAATCTTACATTGAAACATCTTTTAGAATGTCTCACCAGTGGGACATACATTCACAATGTATTGAACAGTATAACTGATACACTTAGTTTATACCACGCGTGTAATTATCTAATTACGTTTGTTAAATTAAAGCAATTATGCAAAGGCATATACCGTAACATGCAGACTATAATTGTGTGCTATACCAATATGGTTTGTAATCTTGATAGGCCTATGATGTTGACCTACATCTTACTACAATTTTGTAAGTCTGCAGAGGGCCAGGCGTTTTAGACGTTCTTTTTCAATATATCACTGGCCTTAATGGTTAGTGAAAATGACTGACACCGTATTAATGGATTGATCTTTCAATGGTTAGTATTTATCTAGCATCAGTTCCATTGTCTTTCCAAGAGCCAAGTGTTATCTCACTTTTGAGTCAGTTATGTCATTCGTGTTTCAATTTTCATTATGTTTGGTGAGATGTGTTCGCACTTCATGTGTCAGACTTTCTCGTTCAGTCAGGAATGATTTCTGTATCATCATAGATGCTTTCGTCGATGTCGTCGATAGTTACATACCCCTGTAGTGTAAAAAACCAAAGAACAATGCAAGATGATGAGTGATCAACAACAAACTAACCGGTGAGTCTATTTATGAACGGAAATGAGAAATTATCGGTGATGCTTTTTCATATTTTGTAGGATCGATTTGTTTGATTGGTTAAAATTCTAGTCCCGAATGTGTTCTTGCATGATTTACCATTTCTACAGTTAGTAGTCCCTCCAGCTTATCCAGAACTTCTTGAAACGTTGGTCTCAACCGTGGGTCAGCGTGCCAACAACTCCGCATGATGGAATATCTGTGGAATAGTGGGAAATAAGAAGCGGTCGGCTTAACAGAAACGGATACCGTGTATGTTCACTCGAAGTAAAACGGCACAGATGTAGTAATTCTTTTTCACTATGCCGTTCTTTTTAATTAGATGTTAACAAGGAAGAGTTTTTACTTCAGAAAATAAAATAATCTCTTCTGTAGGCTTTTGAAATTTCTAACAGCATGCTCTCTTTGCCTTAATTGTACTCGATTCTCAATTTAATATGCAGATTTAAAGACCTTCTGGGATTCAGTAAATGCTCTTAGATGGCTAATTTCATAAGACATCTATTTTATCGTAACTGAGTGAAGGAAAATGGGCCAAAACCTCAGTACATACAGTTGTGTGTTACAGTTTGTTGGTCTGGACATGCGGTAGCCTTCACTTAGCTGGTTCACCATGTCCTTTGCAGTCATAATGTGCGGGTACGGACGGGCACCTGTCATGAGCACATAATTGCAATCAAGTGTTTGCATATTCATATACATGTACGTCCGGTAACGTTAGCGTATCTATAAAGCTATAACAAATGTAAATGACAAATCTTTAAATATCACAAAATTGAAGTTTCCAAGTCTGGTTAAGTATTCTGTTCAACTGTCTCACCAAGTGTGACGATTTCCCACATCAGAATGCCAAAAGACCACACGTCACTCTGGATTGTGTATACGTCATCAAGGAGAGATTCCAATGCCATCCAGCGCATGGGCAGTGGACCCTGTCATGAAAACGAAAAAGCTATAACTTACATCAGGGTAGATCTCTCAGCTCCTTCTCGAATCACAGTGTTGGAAGGGCAAGAAACGATACCTTTGATCCTTGCCGGTAGACTCGGATGTTAATGACGTCACGGGCGAGTCCGAAGTCAGATACCTTACACACCATATTGTCGTCCACCAGCACATTACGTGCAGCCAGGTCGCGATGAATGCACTACAACCGAATAGAGGAGGAGGGAAAGAAAGATGATTTAGATATTGTGAATTCCACGGTTGTCGCATTGAACAGTTCAAATAATCATATGTATTTTGTTGTTTTTTAAGGCAGAGTAGGCCTTGAGATAAAGCCCAACACTATCCAGGCAACTTGATATTTTGAAACCTTGATGAATTTCATACCCTATCATTTAGAGTCTTTCTCGTAGATGCCTACCTTTTGAGACGCTAAAAATGTCATTCCATCGGCCACGTCCCGGGCAAATTTGAGCAATCTCAGTGAGAGTGAGCGACTCGGGCCAGAGATATTGGCGTAGCGTCCATTAGTGTTTGTGTTCCTGAATCCCATCAGAACTTTCTTGAGGTCTCCCTTGCCAAGATACTCCAAGATGATATAGATAGGATCTTTATTGAAGCACACAAAATCCACAGTGATTATACATTGAAAAAACTGCAGCTACAGGTACGCACTTTCCTCTTCCTTTCCTGCTGCGGGGAGTCCAGGGACATCACATTTTGGGTGCGAAAAATTGAACTCTGACAGTATTTCTCGATAATTCTTTTATAAAGCAAAATATGATCTTTTTCATATTTTGGGCCTTAGCAAAATTCCCTTCCAAGCAGGGACAGTGCATTTTGTGGTAAAGTTAAATTCTGGGGGTATCTCTTGGCAATCGTTCAGTGGGTAATCTCTTTAAATTCTTGAAGGTTTCTGTGCCTCACTTTGAGTCTAGCTTTTTCAGTTTCTTAAATTCTGCACTGTGCAGTATTCATTGTAGGATTAGACTTGTCTGTGTTCAATAATATAGACTCTGCTTTGAGCCTTACCTGCCTCTATGCAATAGCCAAGTAATCTGACAATGTTTGGGTGAGATCCAATCTTTTTCGTAATGTCCAGCTCCTCAAGTAACACCATCTTGGCCTGTCTGTCAGCGCCCTCTGTCGGTTGAAAAGGAAGTAACAAGTCATGTAATAATGTAAAGAGCACCTTCTGGAAAGGAAGTAATGAGTTAAAATTATCAAAATGTTACAAAGTATGTAAAAACTGTATTTGAAATATTTGAATAGACTTCCCTACTGACGTGGTCTAAATTCTGCGTACGTTGATAAACCTTACCCCGCTATACATATTTCTATATCTTTCTAGTCTGAAAGAAATGTTAGCCTAAGTGTTGGACAGTTCCTTGAGGATGGTACCTTCTCTATGTATTTCAAGTAAGGCACAAATGTTACCTGTTTTCGTGTCACTGCCTTTAAAAATATGAAATAGAATTTGTTGTTTAGAATCGTGTATACATACAAGGACACTTACCCTTGATTGTTTTGATTGCAACTTTGCTTTGTTTTCCAACTTCCTCGATCCCAAGTGCGGTGCCCAACAGCACTATCCCAAAGGTACCTCGACCTATCTCGCCCTCGATTTCCACGAGATCTCGTGAGAACGAGAGATCAGGGCCAGTATTGCCGTATGCCACCTGCACAGATTTGTCGTGTTCTGGACAGTAGTCTTTCGCTGTCAATGTGACCATTGCGGTCAACGGGATATCTGTTGAAAAACCAATTAAGATATCTAATTGCATTATATCTCTTCGAATCGATTGATTGGATTAAGTGCCAGAATCAATAATGCAAGATTTCTCCATTTCTTCTGTTGGGTTGATATGTGTAATCATTTCTTTATTGACATAAGCATGCCTATATCGCACATATTTACATATTTGTGAATTCATTGCCCTCGTTTTTTAAGTCAAGTTTCCAATTTTTTCAGTTATGCACCTGTAAGATGTTCACCTGCCCTTGTTGAAGAAACCCGACTATCTCCTGCCAACGATTCAGACTGGTGACATAACTCGCGTGTGCTAGGAAAGAAAAGGCAAGATTATTAGTGTGGTATAGTGGTAAGCCTCTGTGCCTGAAATTTATACCTGCTTGGTGACACCGTCTCACCTGTCATTCCTGACCAACTGGCGTTTATGCCACCTCACGAAAACTACTATTACAGCAAGTGCTACCAGTCCAGTGATGAAGCCCGCCACCAATGATACGACAAACACAACACGATCCAACGGTTCTGCAGGAGAAGACAGTGCCATTTGTCTTAAATTATATGCTCACTTTGCACTCAATGGTACTGCCGAATCATAAATATTAATTTTGTGCTTTAAATTCAATTTAAAATTCAAACAATTTGTAATGGCAATTTTGTGTTATAGTTGAAACCTTTGGATATTTATTTACATTTTTTTTAAATTTAATTTGGAATTAATTGCTATTAAATGTGTTAGATATCTCCTTATTTGGTAAGTATGGTATACTTGCACGTCTTTTTGTTGCTGTATTTGCACTGAGGGTCTCAGTTGCTGTATTTGTACTGAGGATTGGGGTTTACCTTCAATAATTAAAGATGACGTAAATGAAAAAAAAAGTGTGTAAGAGTCGCTCCACCGACTTACTGTCTCTTTTCTCGTTCTCTTGTGTTTCAGGTACTGTCGATTTTACCATTGTCGTAGACCCTGCAGGTAACACACGTTACATGGAAAAAAAGTTATTACTCAAGGTAAGAAAACACAGTATACTTACGCATAATGTCATGTCTAACCCTGCATTCACAGCAAAAGCTTGTTATGTTGACAAGATTTCTTTGGCCTGAGTGTCTGTAGCGACAAGAATTCAGTAAAAACGCCAGGTATTCGTAGCTTTCCAAGAGCTGATGAAAAATAAAACCCCTTGTACCGATGGGATTCAAACCAACCAACGACTGCTTACCAGCGCAAACATCTTACCTTTCGACCACCGAGATAGTCTGGTTCGAATCGATACAGCAGGGGGAACCGCAGTTGACAGCTCAACTGTTAATGGAATATAATCAGTATCGTATCAGTATGGCATAACAAGTGCTAGTTTATGTACCATGACCAGAACCCAACATATACCGACACATGCGTATCGACTGTTTTCAAAATTACAACCTGGTCGTCTGGCATTATGAGCCTACGGCTGTCTTGTCAAAATCTTATATCACTATGACAAACGGGACTTGTTTTTTGCTCACAAGAGCACTATAGCAGTTCTGTTGATTGTGACCAGAAGCCACACATCGAGTGTTTTCAGGGCGGAATTTGGTAATACCCTCAACAGTCGACTATTAAAGCATGGTTAACAGTTGGCGAAAAGAGCACACTTTTTGTGGTCCTCAGTTTTGTGGGCCTCCTTCTCGAAAACCCTTTCAGTTGTTTTCGAAGGTGTGGCGCATATCACGCTGCTATCTGCGGTGAAGTGGCGTGGTCAAGTCAACACCGTATGCCGCGCGAAGTGTGTTTTATTGCGGTGGAAGCTACCTGTCTAAAAATTGTTCTTCGTTTCCGAAGGCGTCATAATAAGATCCATGTTTAGCGTCTTTGTGTGTTGAAGTTTACTTACCTTGACATGTCGGTACCGAGTCACTCCACATGGCGTTATTGTAGCCCGTGTCTATGCATTCAATGGACGAGGCTCTCGTGAAGAGTATATCCAACGTCGCACGAGAAATCCACATGAGTCCCGAAGAACTTGGAGTTTTTGAGATTGTAAGACAGTGAAAGTACAATTAGAACCCTCTTTCTCAGAAGGGTACAGACTCACCGTTTTTACTTGAGGGTCTTTCAGTCACCGTTTTTGTAGTGTTTTCATTGGTTCTGCTGCTCTCTGCTTGAGTCTGCGTAGTGAAGTCAACGACTGATGCTGGAATGTTATCGAGAATGGGAATGGGTGGTAGAAATGTTGTTAGTCTTGCATACAAGACGCAAATGCGCAGACAAAATGCTACAATTATGAAACTTTTAATCCTAGCATTTGTTACCACCACTCGTTATTTTTAAGAGCCCCCAAACACTGAGACCTTCATGTAATTCACATTACTTTCTATATACGCACCTTCACAGGTCGGTACAGAATCACTCCACGTGACGTTGTTGTAGCCCGTGTCTACGCATTCAATGGACGAGGCTCCGCGAAGAGTATATCCAACGTCACAGGAGAAATCCACACGAGTCCCGAAGAACTTGAAGTTGTTGAGATTGTAATCCAGTGAACGTGGATTGGTGATGGTGTGGTCTCCGTTGGTCGGTGGTCCAATGTCATTACTGCACACGCCTTGGGATACTGAACGTGAAAGAGGGGAATTTTGTGATAGACACAAAATGTTTTTCCAAAAGCTTTGAAACAATATAGGCCTACAATAGTATTGATAGTACAGTATTCATCTAACAGCAGATCAATTCAAGAGAGAGACTAAACCAACTGTTTCAGCTGGGTGCCTGGTTGCGCATGCTTCGGGCCGCAAACGCAGAGACCAGGACCTGTAAACCAGGAGCTGACATTGTGACTTCGAGATCAAATGATATCAATATCGTTTCAGTGCAGATATCAGAATTTATATCACTGTATGATGGTATTGCGCAAATACCACACAAATCTGAGAGAGGAGGAAGAGAGAACGTCATGGAGTTCCCCATCTCCATTCGTATATGCCGTTCTTATCCGACCACGTCGGAGTATCACACTTAACATCAGCTCTTCCTTGTAAGATGTCTTACTTCTGTATAGAGACATTCTTCGTGTGTCCCCACATATCTGGTTGCTGTTACCGAGACACGAATCTTGACACTGAACCACTGGTCTTTCCTTGGCTGTGTCGTAGTCTTCGCCGCAGAAACACAGACTCTTGTCGGCCAGTCCGGCGTAGTTGTGGCTGCTAGATTCGTCCTCGAGACATTGTTTGAAGCACCACTCGCTGGCTTGGTCTTCGCTGTGTAATGGCCCTATCGGCAGGGCATGACGACAAGGACTCTTGCAGTCAAAGAAGCAGCCCAGATAACCAGGGGCTGGAACCAGTTAGAAATCACATACATGAACATGTCACAACCCGTGTTAGCGTTTGTTACTGCAACGTTCAGTCTGTTCAATCCATCAATCTGAACCTTGAATTTTGTTTATTACATTTGGAATAAAATCTGGTACACTGAGACGTGAACCTAATTTGATTTCTCCATACTAAAGACAGTGTTGCCATACCTCGTGATTTGGAGCAAGCTTTTGCTTAGTTACACAAGAGACACGTTGAACTAATGCATGTACACTGGTTTCAGTGGAAAAAGAAGGGCTCAAAAAACCAGTCCATTCCAGAGACAGTGGTCGCTATGGAAAAACTTGCCCCGAATCATGAGGTATAGCAACTTTAGTCTTGGGAATTAAAATTATGTTTTGGTACAATCAGATAACTCAATATACCGGTTTTTATTCATATTTAAGTCGCAAAAGTCCTATTCACGCTGACCTTGGTAAATACTCAAGTACAATTAGAACCCTCTTTCTCAGAAGGGTACTGACTCACCGTTTTTACTTGAGGGTCTTTTTGTAGTGTTTTCATTGGTTCTGCTGCTCCATGCTTGAGTCTGCATAGTGAAGTCAACGTCAGATGCTGGAATGTTATCGAGAATGGGAATGGGTGGTAGAAATGTTGTTAGTCTTACATACAAGACGCAAATGCGTAGAGAAAACGCTACAATTATGAAACTTTTAATCCTAGCATTTGTTACCACCACTCGTTATTTTTAAGAGCCCCCAAACACTGAGACCTTCATGTAATACACATTACTTTCTATATACCCACCTTCACAGGTCGGTACAGAATCACTCCACGTGACGTTGTTGTAGCCCGTGTCTACGCATTCAATGGACGAGGCTCCGCGAAGGTATATCCAACGTCACAGGAGAAATCCACACGAGTTCCGAAGAACTTGAAGTTGTTGAGATTGTAAAAGAGTGCAGGCGGGTCGATGATGGTATGTGCTCCGTTGGTCGGTGGTCCGATGTCATTGTTGCACACGCTTTGTGATACTTAGCATTAAAGAAAACAATAAGGGACATTTTGCTTTTGACATGCGTATTGTATCAGAACCTGTTAAAACTCACTTGCATAGAAAAATACTGATTTTGCATGTATCATGTCATGCAAAGAGAACTTACAGTATCTATAGGATACACGGGCACTTTGCAGTATGGGACACTGACTCAGAGACATGTGTTGCGTTTTAAAAAGAGATGAACTTGCGAAACCCGAAAAACTTCAGCCCGCGTCCCCTCTCCTGTAAGATTAGAGTAGGCTTGTAACACATACTTTGGTACACGGATATCCTGCTGGCGTCTCCACAGATCTGGTCTTGGTTTGCCCCGCACCGGTCGTGACACTCAGAATCCGAGCGTCGCCCGAACCTGCCGAAGTTTTCATTATTCCCGCAAAAACATTTGTTGGCGAAATCCAGTCCTGCGTACTTGTACCTCCCGCCTATTCCGTCTAGACATATTCTGAAGCACAATTCAATGTATTCAACGTCTACATCTCTTATTCCTGTTCGCAGAGCACGACCGGAGCATGGTTGACCCCCAGGGCAGTCCACAAAGCATCCTAAATAACCTGGAGCTATAATAACAAGGAATCGGATTTCCTTTTTTTTTTCGTAATTTCGTAATTGTAATTTTAAAAGGCACCACAGAGTCTGTTTAAATGTTCAAGAAAGTGTAACAGAATTACAGCCAAACAAACAACTCTTTGCGATTAGCAACTTTCAAAGTATATGTCCTCAACCGATTTCGATATGATTATTATAATCCTGGAACGTGTATTGGTCTGTTATTTCATGAAAGTGGTCACGACGTTTCTTAACCATGGTGATTTCTAGGGGATGCCCCGGGGTGCACACATTTGGGGTTGGAACCCAAAAGTCGGGAAGGTTGAACATATATTGGATGTGCACATATCAATATTTCAAAATGGGGGCAAACAGCCCCCCCCCCCTTTACACCTTGCATAATTGTGTGTGTCACCCACGGAAATCGAGGGGCTCCATATATCTTTAGCATGAATGGCGGGCAAGCGAGGATAACAAGAAATTTCCCCCTATCGTCAGTGTTTAGTGTGTTGCTCAAAGCACCTCGAAAATGTGAATGCAACAGTAGACCATAGGGGCGAATCGTAGTGCAGTGTGCCACCATGAAGTGGCCGCGGAGATTCCTTTATAATCAAATGTACAGTCGGCAGAAGCGTGGCTGACTTGCTGCATTTCAGTGTGTCAGTAGACAACCTAGGGGACAAAATGATGGATTGGGACATTCCATTCAACACAGAGAATAAAAGATTAATTAAAACTACTACTCAATATACACTTAACGAATCTTCTTGTCTGACGAACAAAATATTCAAGTTCCCTACGTGCAGCCGGCGAACAGAATCAATTCCCGCCTTGTACTTGGAAAAATGGTCTTTCTTTGGCAGCCTCTTAGTGGCACATTGTATTTAGAATAGCTCGTGTTATCCTCAAAGGGAATCGTATTGTCTTCGATCTCATGAGGATGGTCGTTCAAACCCGAGTGCTTGCGTATGGGACCCAGATGCACTGGTTTACTATGGCACCCAATCCGACAACATACCCGCAGTTTGTAATGCACGAGGCGTTTACAGCAACATGCCCCAGTGCGAAACCTGCCGGTAGTACATTATCATAGGGCCTTTTCGAAACCCCTGGATTCGGCTTAGACTTCAGTTTCGCTGGTTCCAGCCATTTTGAAGCAGCGTTGGAAACCACCTGTTCAAGCTCTGACTGGAGCCAGCGAAACTGATGTCTAAGCCGAATCCACCTGATGTACGTTGCAGCTTCACAGTGTCAAAGAGGGTCTTTGGCACAAAAACGGGTAAAAGGAATATGGTTTGGCTGGCCAGCGCGCTGCAGCGTGGTGTAATGAGTAAGGAAACGATTAATTTTCCGGATTGCAGTGGTCTAAAGAGTTCTTTTCCATTCCTCCTTTTCTGTTTTGACATTTTAAAAATTGTTTTGGGTCTATTTCGTTCTGGAAAAGGTCATCTTTGAAACAAATTTACAGCCTGAATTCGTAGTGGAAATTCGTAAATGGCTCCACCCATTGGCTGAAGCGTCCATTGAAAAAGCACGGGATCGAGTTAAGCGATTTCTTGGGGAACATTTACCTTGGCAACTGGAAAGGGTGAACTCGGTTAAAATATGTCATATTGAAAGGGACGTATATTAACCTCAACTGTTCAATGTGCAAGCCAATATGTCAAAGGTATACCTACCGTTGGGTTGTTGCTCAGTTGGTACCAGAAGGAAATATAAAGTCATTACCCATAGAGTTAAGGTGGTATATGACAGATGTTGGAACTTCGGTCCATCGCTCCGGTGTTTGAGTGGTAACGTCATAACTGATCTACAAGAGTCTGTTGCAAAAAAAATCACTGTTAAGAAATCGGAAATTCCATGGCTGAAGACCTAAAGGCATTTTGAGTGAGTACACTTATGTTAATGCGGTGCAGTTCTTTACTGTTGGATTTTTGGCAATGAAAATGAGATGGCTTCTTTAAAATGTACACCTGCAGCTGTTTGAGGTAAAACATACGTTATTATAAGATAACTGTGGTCCATGAGAAAACATCAGCGGGTTTGAGGTTGGATTATGGAGCACAGCTTGAGCCATACACAAGAGCAATGGTGCCCTATACTTTTGTTTACGCCTTGTAGCTTATCGGCAAGAACTTTTCGGTTAAATGCAAAAGTCTCTATCAAACTTCATTGGTTGAACATACAATGTACTTAGTTGCCAGTCCAGAGAGAATTAACTACATTGTACATGCATAAGTAAGCAATGAAGCAATAATTTAACTGAGCATACCTGTTTCGCAGCAGCCAGCTCAAAGACGACAAGTTTCAATTACCGCGCTTATAAATGCATGTCTGAAGCCACATAACATCACCGTCACGACGCACCATGTTCCTGATGGCAGTCCAGCTGAATGGACATGGAATGCTTCCATCACATCCGTTACCCGTACTTCCTCCAGGTCTGGAAAACAGACAGACGAAAATAGCTTCAACTACATAAAGAGAAAAAAATGACAAGAATTTAGCTTTGAATCATGAATATCTTACAGTTGTTGTTTTTCCTGTTTCCTTGGTTTTTGGTAAAAGCATTGTCTCCAGCAATGTAAGGAAGAAATTTGACAAATGCAATGACCGTGTCCCACATGAACAACCCACCAGAATTCCAGGTTTTCCCTGAACACGCGTCATTCCCTAAACTTACATTCCAAGTAACCTGGCTTCCATGACTTCTTTGGTGTGAATCAGCATGTGTTTGCAGTCTGTAACCAGGTACATGTGGCATGGAAAAGATCGATACTTACAATTAAACTCGCCTCACACTCCAAATTCCATGAAGTGATGTCAAGAAAGTTACGCCTCCCTTATGTGTCATCATCTTCTGTGAAAAGCTGACTACCCTTTTGGTCCTGACTTTTCTTTTGTGTCATAAATATCCAGACATAGCCACAATCGGTTTTTGAAGATAATAAATGAGTTCAGAGTAGGCCTACAGAGTGTCTCCAATTTAGCCGAACTCAGCTGATGTGTCTGTCGATCATCTGCATCTGTTCCTGCGTTTCAACCGCTTCATCAGCAATAAATATTTTAAAAAGATTTCATCTACAGGGCTACAGTTACAATTTTTAGGACAAGAAACTGATTGTGTGATGGACAAATGCAAGTTGTTTTTGCTGTTAAGTCACTCGGCGACTTCTGGTGACCGTTGAGTCACTACATTGTATGAATCTTCTTAATGAAACAAAGTTAAGTTATAACGTTTTGAGTGAAAACACGTCTGAAAGTTGCAACTTTATTTTAACAGGGATTGTAGCAATTATCTATGTTTTAAGTATGACACGTTCCTAGACCTAGGTTCAAATCCGCCGTGTACTTCAGAAGATACAAAGCTTAAGATTATGCAACGCTTAATGTGGCGCAACTTGACCCCGATGCATCCTCGTGACGTCACTTTAACATCACAAGTGTTTCCATCTATGACACGCTCCTGTCTTGGTGCGTGGAACGTATCAGCTGAATCGGTATAGTACTTTACAATATAAAGAACCTTGAATGGTGCCTAAGTAATGAAGCATGCTCCTTTAATGAGCCAATTCGGCATCAACAAATTTAAACAAACAAAGGCTCTCGTGAGGAAAGTGCGCGCATGAGTCAGCATTTGGCTACGCTGATAGGATAGACTATCGTCCGCTTGCGTAGCTGTTTCTGAACTGCCCTGTACTTAGCATGTGTTGTTGACACATCGAACTGGCTCATTGAACGTTTTAAAAACACTAGACATTTACTAACCATGATACAGACGGTCGCTTTTCACCAATCTTGTTTTGTCTTATGGCGAACTTTCATTCCAGTCGTACATAATATGCCTGCAAAATTCAACTTTCGGGCGTCACGTGCCAAGTGATGACGTCATTACAGAAATCACACTTACCAGAGAGGTGATTAAATGCTTGAGTGGAAAGTTCAGTTCAAGATGGAAATACCAGTTGGAGTGTAGAATTTTTTTCTCGGTGTTTTGTAATTTTGCAGCAGGCTTTTTATTATATATTCACAAAAGGTTAAATAACCTAAACGACATGTCTTTCTGAAACCGAATTACACCATTTTTTTTTAGCTTTTAATAAGTTCTTTATACTAAAAAGGTGGTACTCGGAGACAGGTTAAATTTTAACCTCAAAACCATATTAACCCCCATTCCACCACCAGGTTCATTGACGTTGTGTAATTGGGCAATGCAAAATTTAATGTTTTTTGTCTCTTAGTTCAAAAGTGTCCTTAACCCTGATAGCTGTCAGTCCGCACAAAACTTGAGGTTTCCCCGTCTCGTGTTGTGAATATCCCGTTTCATTCCTCGAGTAAAAACTTGTTTTATGGACCCAATGCCAGGCCAGTCTCTAGTTAATTACAATATTTACTCTGGCCTACCAGTTTGAAATAGGTAGGTCGAATGAGGACTGCATGTGGTCTCAGCCGTAATGACTTCCGATGTATTAATCAAAGAGGAAAACAAGTTGTATTTTCGCTGCAGTCCAGTGGCCAATATACTTGCAAATATACTTGCAGTCTGTATATGACACTAGCACAAATGAAAGGATCGCAAACGTTTTCTGTTCGCGTATTGGGGAAAACGTCTCATATTACGTAATAGCCATTAAGAGAACAAAATAATACCTAATTCAACGAATATGCCTAAACAGCTAAAACGTGCTTTACGTACACAATACCGTCATGAGGAGGTCTAATCTCGGACACTTAGGCAGACAGAGATGGAAAAAGCACCGACTCAGAATCGAGCATAATTTCTCAGGTTTTAATTGACCCATCCAGCAAGCCCCACCCACTACGCACGTGGCGCTCACAACGTGCTCATCAATGCCACACTACGTACTCCAGCTGCACGCAACATACGCGCATGCACGCATGTTTGATTTGAGAGCATGCTTTTCGGACATAAATCACGGCTGCGACCGGTCAGAAAAAACTGAGGTGGGGCTCAATGGTATCCACTCCCAGCACAGACAAGAGAGAGCCTATTTTTACAAAGCCAAAATGGTCCTTTGGTAGAAACTAACTGCGTGTGCGTGCAGGACACACTGAGTACGCGCGACCAATTTCTGTTGAGATGTATGGTTTTTGCGTGTTCGCTCAGTGTGTGCACGAGCCCAATGGAAAAACTTCCTACCAGCCTGTCTCTTCTTTGCCGATGAGGGTGCACTTCAACTCGCGGCAGATATGCTTGTTTACACCGCCACGTTTGCTTGGGCAAGTGTGCCCAATGGAGCTGTAGCTAAGTAGGCCTAATGTAGTCGACCGCCTTAACCCTAACACTCCTCAATCCTCCAACAGGTGAAGGATTGAGGAGTGTTAGTGTTAATGTGGAGAGTGACTGACAGAGTCTAATGACTTACAAGTTCCGACTTCCAACAATTCTATTTTTCATGTATTTACTGTTTTGCCGCTAAAAGGGAAGCGGGCGAGGGCGCTAAAAATTGTTTTTGTCCTTCGACTCCAGATATTCTATCGATATGCAAAATTCTTTCGAGTTATTTATTTTAAGAGTTTTTAACAATACAAAATCATACCAGCTTTCTACCACTGCTGGGTATGATGTGGGGGATAACTGCTCTGATAGACACCTTTAGGCACCACCGGAGAATTAACAGCAGATGGATATTCTCGGTAGTTGATGTGCAAAAACAATCTTCATCACATTCCTCGACAGGGATTAATTGTGATGGCACGGCCCAGAAACATGTGAAAGAGACCATTAAAGACCAGTGAAGTGCCCACTGCCTGCGTGATTCAGCTTCGGAGCCAGGGTTCTAGAACAAACTGTCCCAACGGAAATTGTACAGCCAAGTTCACAATCAGCAAATTGAATCATGTTTAATTTAGTGTCTGTGTGTGAGCTTTCGAAGTGCTCCCACACAAAATTATGTATGCTGGCACTGTTCATACCTCTCTAGCTCTCCCCTCAGTGCCATGTACTATTTTGCCTAACGACTCAGAAATAATGTTTCGTTTGTCAACAAAATAGCTGACTATAAATGAAATACGCCTAAATCGAACTGAAAAGTTGAGATTTAAAAAGGTTTGACGATCTAAAAGAAGCACTTCTTGCTGCAAGTTTCGGAATTTCGGACATATGACTTTCAGTTTTAGTGTCGACTGGCGTCAAACACCATCTTTTCCTCGACATCTTGCGTGTTGTCGGCAATCGTCAAGAATGGAAACAGGAACTTAGTCTCCCAAGAGTTTTGTTAAAGCCATACTGGGGCAACAGTGTGTATAATTCGATGTCTTTGAAGTTGAAGAGTTCGAAGTACATGCGGTAGAGCGTCCGGTGGATGAATGTTTGTTTTGCCAAAATATAAGTATACCATCTGGTATGTGTCTGTCTGATAGACCAACACATCCACCCCCCACTTCCGGTTCATTCTTGTCTGACTTCCTATCAACTCTTTCACGCCGGAAACCAACCGAGCCTGCAGGGTGCGCTGTATCCGAGAATAACGTGGGACAACTTTTCCTGTAATTCATGTCAAAAGTCAGTGCAAACTATAAGAGGTCCTACTGATGATTTTTCTTACGCAATCTTTCTGTGCCGCCTTGCATACCACTTCTCTGTATTTGAATTGGGTTATATCCCTTAGAGTAAGGCGCTTTGAAAGGTGCACTTTAAACAAACGTTTGAAGTTGTCCATGCTTTGCCCGACAACTCAGGCATCATTGCTGTGATGCATATCAGAGAAGACTCTACTCTGTTTCTTAGGTTTTTCTATGGAAGCTGAGAGACCTCCCTTTTCGTTATTAAAAACATCAGATGTCGTCGGGTGGGGGTAGCTTGGACCGGAGTCCCCCCCGGTCCCTGGTTCCTCACAGAGAACTGAGATATATGGGTATGTTAGAGCTAGTGTAGACCACTCTCAATTTGCCTACAACGTGTATGAACGGCCAAATTTAAAGTTTGCAGAAATATACCCTTGTGATTGGTTTTCGATGTGTCTCCATTTTTTTTTTCAAAATGGACATCTGTCCCATTTTTAAAAATAGGATTGTACTTTAATTTAGCATTTTATAGTTTGTGTAACTGGTGTTCTGCGTGACATTTTTAACACGTCATGAATTAAAATTATAAGTTAGTTTCGACGACCAGCCATATGTACATGTAGTTTTAGCAATTACCTGTAGGAAAAACACGACTGTGACAAAAAAACAGACCCTTGTTTAGGCTGTAGCCTTGTATCTTTGTATTGTCAGAAAAAGAAGGGAGAGAATGAAAACCAGGGAGAGGTAGTTAAGCCCCCCCCCCCCGATGAACCGGTGCATGGCTTCACGTAGAAAAAAAGGGAATCAGATGGGGCACAGATCAGGGACACTAACAGAAAACTACCCGATAACGTTTGATTGCAGTTCACGCAATGTCAACAATGTCGACAGCAGTTCTTTCAACGGAAAACCGTGTCATTGCGCTGCACCAAAGTCTTTTTACGGCACATGGATTTATTCGCCTGTTTCTGTTTTTAAAATGGGCATTTCAGCCATTGAAGGATACTGACAGGAGTTAGTTTGTGTTTTAAATGTGACCCTGAGTTTAGGGGGTCAATAATTGGTAAGAGGGTTAGAGAATACGGAAATTTGGTTGCGGAGGCGTTTTGTTCTGGAAGGGACAAGGAAACTAACAGATATTTCTTTCCTGTAAAAACAATAGTTTGAATCACTGAAAGAAATTAGTAAAACCCATCAAGGAAAATAACTATAGGATTACTGAGTTTCGTCATCACATTCAGTTGAGTGAAACAATGAGACCTCTGAGTAAAAAGAAAAAGTATACATACCGGCTCCCGGACGCCGTTGATGAAGGACGGTCGCTATAACAAGCAATCCACATGACTGTCAAGTGCAGCCAGGGATTATAGGTATTTGATAATTTGTGGTTGAGGGAATACCGGAAAGCTCGGGGAAGACCCTTGTGGCAGAGGACGGGACCGAAGAACAATCAGTATGCAACCACAGAAATATGCAGTAATTGTTAAAAGTTATAAATAGTAATAACAGAGGAAAGAATGACTAAACAAAAAGGGGAAAAAAAGATGTCAACCGATGTGTCCTTCCTGTTTCCAGTGTATGTCCAACCATGGGTTGAATACTAACCTGGAGACCGATGGGGTCAAAAGCAGCGTGTTCATTGGCCAAATCCATGCATATCAGTGAAAAGGGGAAAAGGCAAGTTAGCGATGTGGAAAGACATAAATCAAACATTTCAGGGGGTGGTAATTTATCATACCTGTGACACAGATGAGGACTGGGCCATTCTGCAATTAATTTAGTGTTTATATTGACAAATGACATGCTAACACACATGGTCGTCGCCGGAGGCCAGGGGTTCTATCTCTACCGGAAAAGCGGAAATTATAAGACAAAAACCAGGAGACACAAAAAGGAAATAAAAATCACCGATGTGCTTCGAAATATCTTAGAAAACCTGGGTAGAACCTCCACCACAATTATTTTTGCTGGATGACTGCTGATAATGCCCCTCAGGAAAGGGGCTACGGTCATGTTCATGCACATTTTGATTAACTCGGTAACTATATAAAAATATTCCTGTACAGGCCCAAGACTCAGAGTACAAGTTGTACGACTGAAAAAAATCATTGCTGTGATAGACATTGTCTTCATTATTTTGAAAAATGTACGCGGCCCCAAATGCTGCGAAGATGATGAAAATTTAATGGTTCAATTTTGCCTCTCTTAGACAGTTGCAGACGGGAACGATCTCTGCCAGCCTCACTCCTCTTTACCGAAGAGGGGGTACTTCTTCAATGGAAGGTTAGGTGTAGGCATTGTATCTGGATAAGGTGCATTCAGCAAACACGTGTCTGGCATAAGCTGGAATTGTTTGCGTTGGTCTCCATTGTATTGCATTTGGCTGCCGCGCGGCTGATTGTTTTCATGTAGCATCAACATTCTACATCCAATGCAAGCGGCATTCGTCCAACTGCTCTTGGAACNAGACACAGCCTACGTTTGTGCTCTGCATGCACTGCGCTTTCAACTTGGACCGGGGAATTGTTACCCTCACACAGCTGGCTGACTTTAGTCCACCATTGCGACTTGGGCTTTCAAACAATCATGGCAACAGCGTTGGTCTGCCTAGATAGTGAGTAGAAGCACTTTACAAGTTTGGGGGTAAACTCGAATATTGTTCAGTCGTGTAATGGCAGGCTCTTTCCAAGGGGATAGCTGTGGCCGGGGGTATGACCCACCCCAAATTTGCCTGTATTTCAAAATATTTGGAAAGTCAAAGATACAGTTTAGATATTCATCTTAACTACTAAAGCTCTGATATAGTCATACATCCCAGGTTCAGTCTTCTGCGGAGTGGAGGGGAGGGGCGGGGCTTGAGAATCATGAGCTACGTGGGGAGGGGAGGTAACATGAAGTCAGTTGTGTCAGCTAGCCTCATTGTAAACAAAAGTCACTCATTTTGTGCTCAAAATGACTAAAAATATCGGTCAGTCGGGTCTCGGTGACTTATTAAGTCAAGACAGGACTAAATATGTAGTCAGTATGACTGACTTTGGTCAAATTTGACGAATGTTCCACTCGTTTTTGACGAATGTTGGTCATTGGCCTGTCTGGCCATTTTGAATTGGTCATTTTAGACATAAGCTGAACTAACTTTCATTCAAGAAGTCAATTTTTTTATCTACAGTGCGCCATTGCAGTTGTGTGAGGATGCACATATTGTTCTTTGACAAAATATTTATTTCACTTTTAACTTGAGATTATTCTTGAGGGATCTGCTTTACTTATCTATAAACATCTCATGGAACAACACTTAATAAAGTTTAGCCAAATGTAACCATAATTCGATATACCATGTATACCATGGCTAAAGCTCGTTGCTAGACTGGATGTGTGTTACTTGATGATAGCAAGGACATATTCGGATAGTAGATGGATTTTATCAAGTGACACTAATAGGTGTAATTTTCCAACAAAATTGCTCTTTGAGATTAACATCATGAACATGTTATCATTCTAAAATGGACAATCTTGCCTTCGACCTATACAGTTCTAATCTTTCAGTGACTAAACTTAGTAAACATTTATTCACTTCAATAATTATTGGTTTTGAACTCTCCAGCCATTAAAAATTCGAACAATTTAGAATGCAATGCAGTGATATTGAAGTACACAAGGACGCCTACCACCAGTAATGACATAATGTACGGAAACTACTTAAATTTAGGTTAATAGATTGGTAAACGAAAAAATAATACGATGGGACAAACTTGGCAGTGAATTGTGTAAGAAAACAACATAGCGGTTCACAATATACAGCGTGCCACCAAGTGGTTGCGGTCATTTTGCAAGCTTACGGTTGACAGCCGCTGCCTTGGTGCTATTTACAATGTAGCGACGTCAATTGACAACTTGGGGAGACGTTTGATAGATTTAGACGCTCCATGCAATAGAAATGATCATTTGAAACTGCCGTTTGAAATTCACTTGCGAATCTCCTGTCCCGTCAATCACCGGAAAAAAATTCACCTTTCCGCGCCCCGTCGGCGAATAGACCATTTCCGAAATTAAGTTGCGAAAAAAAACCTGTCTGTGGTCGCTTCGTAAAGGCATCCTGTACTGAAAAACGTCCGTCCTGATTAGCAAATGATGTAAGGTAGAAGGCGACGCTACATATTGGGAGAGAAATTTTGTGTAAATATTCGAATGGATCCGGTATTGCTGCTCTTTACTAAAGCTTCATCAGTTTATAATTCCGAAATACTTGGCTGCTAGCCGGCATGCAGTAACCGGGATCGATGGTGTATGAGTAACTCTGGGGATAAGGGCTACAAATGAGTTATTTTTGGAGTAGGCAAAAATATTGAAATTTCTTTAAGTTACCTTTTGGTTGGCCGTTCCGGATTGGTGAGTGCAAGTTTGCGTATTTTTACACATTTTTAGGATGAAGAATAGATGCATTCATGCGTTTCACTTTTACAGAGACAAACACCGACTTCACTAAGCCCACAACACACCTGTCAACGCGCATATGGAAAGGCGCCTTTATGGTGATGAAATGATAGTAACATACGTATAAGTTTATCTAAGTTATGATTTCTAGAGATTGCGTCAAAACTAAATTATACCTGCACCTTTTATTAAAACAAGGCTAGATCAGGCCGGGATATATAAGGCATAGGCTTACTCGTTAATTAATGATTTCATCTTACGACACAGCAGAAAAATGAAATGCCGTAAATTTTCACAGACTAACTCTGGTTTCACTGTTGATTGGAATTATATTTGCTATTTTCTCACTATTTCTAAATATTGTTGAGATCCTACAAGACTTGATATACTTTGAGTTAAATTTCATTTTGTAGTCCGCTTCCTGGTCTCTTGGTCCACTTATTTCTTGCAACTCAAAGTCACAGCTATCGAAGACCTGAGGAGTTCCATTGAGTACCGGAAAGATACCTTTAATATCAAGACCGGCAAAGACGTCATTGGAAAGACCTGTCTTATTGTAATTGTAGGGGTCATACTATTTCAGGATAGTTATACCTCACCCACTACGCATTGAGGGAAAATTCGAGAGAATCTGTGTATTTTAAGTTTATTTAAATTTGGTGTCCGATTTCTATCCCTTCGTGAGTTTTGATATGATATTTTTGTGTTATTTTTTCCTGTTTTGTTTGGGGCGATTTGTAACGGAGGTGGTACGGGGGCTACAGGACCGCATTGCAAGTAGAATTTTCTCGGTGCTGTCCGTACACCAGCGGGTGAGATCCAACACCTTGGAGGGTTTATCTTCACCGCCTCCAGTCGTGAGAAATTTCTTCACATCACTGAAATCATAGTTCTCCTTTGAGATGAACCTTTGTTCCTGCTGCAAAGAGAAAAAAAAAGACATTTTTTGATTCGTCGTAATAGGAAGAACGTGATGTTCTTGTGTCTATGTCCGACAACTGTTCACAATTTCAAAAAAAAAGAAAGGTGCGGCATAGTCGTTTATGGCAGGTTCTGCCCCTCTAGATCTCCTCTTGTGTGATTCCCTTTGTTGTAGGTCACCCAAGACTTGTTGCAAACCTGTTGCACGGAAGCTTAGCTCCTGATACTCAGCTTTTTCACAGATGCACTTGTGGAATTTGGGAAACTTACACCTGACGCGATGATGTGACAAAGGTCAATTTGTGTTCAGACACACCCCTATGCACACGCAGCCTGCTCTCGTTTCTGTGTGCAGTTTCCCTAGCCTCATGTTTTCTTGCAGGTTTGGCATCAGGCATCATTTGAAAAACAGTCCTATATGGTCGAATAGCTTTTTGGCCCCAAGTGTGAAACCAATGCCTGTGACATGGCCAAAAACCGTTATCATGACAATTCGCCTACATGACGGTTTCATTCCAAGACCTGCACAATGACGACTACAGTATGGCAAAAGAGTGAAAAACTCAAACTCGACAAGAATGAGTCCCTTATGAATGCACTGAAAAAGAGTGAAGATCGCCTCACTTCAAAAAGTGAGAAACCATTCTAAAAAAAGAAGATTAAAAATCACTCCAAGAGAACAGCCATATAAAGGGCATTTTCTTTTTTGATTTGTGCTTATATGGCTCCTTGGTTAGATTGAAACTGGCCCGATTTTTGAGTTGTCTTTCGCTGGAGTGTTTTTTTTAATTTTGTAGTGGTTTTATAAGGGACTCACACGTTTTGAGAGTGAGGATTTTTTTATTACATTTTGCATTTAGAGAGGTACCTGGGTGATCGTCTCCGCCAGCTCCTCGGCTTTGTCAGCACGAATTTTCATCTTCTGGAGTTTTGTTTTCAGCTGGAATTTCCTGATGCCTAGAATGTCCAAACATTCTAGAGTTTCTGTATCTCCAATCTGTTTGAAGACAAACACCAATACACTCTCAATGAAAAGTTTCGAATGGAATAAACTTAATGGCATTGAGAACTGTATATAAAAGAAGCCTATTACCTAGGCACGCCTGTTATTATCGATTGTGTTTGTGATTGGGGAGTACTTGTATCTCTTGCTTTAATTTCCTCCCCACAGCTTTGTGTTTAGCTTACTCCGCATCTAGTGCATTGGCATCTTCTTTACATTTTCTTAGCATATCATGTTCCATCCTCAACAAAAGGGACGAACCCATGGTCATCTCCATTGCGAGTTGTCCCTCATTGTCAGAGGTCGGTATCCTCGAGCTCTGGGTGGTGACGAGAGCGCCAAAAGTGCTAGATTGCACGACTTTTTCGATTACGTGACGTTTTCTTGTCATCGCTTGCTATGTAATTCGATCAAAACTCGAGCTTACGTCAGATTTGTGCTCAGCTAACCCTGCGTCCAGCGCTTTGACAGCTTCTTTGCATGTTTTTCTGCACTTCGCCGATATCTGATCATCCTCGTGGTTTTCCAACACTGCGTCTTCAACCTCTTGATGATGCCTTCGGAGGTTATGACATTCCACCTGTGGGCCCTCCGTCAGTTTGCGTAGAGCTTCTTCAGCTTCGGAATCAGGTGATCGAGACTGCCTCTTTCTCCGACGAATCAGCGCAGTCATCTGGCAAATTAGTCAATTAAAGTCAAACCATTACTCTTTCCACGAGTCAAAGTCTCGCCGGAGAATACAAATTAACTATATTTAGATCAAATGGTCAGAATCAGCATTCCTTTGACTAAACCAGTGCTACATTTTGAGAGAAAGGATCTGGAATGATATTCAACCAGGAAATAATGTTTATAGAAAGCTTGAGGTATTTATATAAACAATTCAAATACAAATACCTTTGTCTGTTCATTAAAAACGCTAAAATTCGTGTGACCTCTGCCTCGTACGTGAAAACGGCTTGCACGACACACGTTTTTGCCATTGTACGTGCTGGGTGCAAAACTGTTACATTTCCATACATTTCCGGAGTCACCTTTTTCTCTTCGTGAAAATTCGTTTCCCCCATGGTGTTGCCCTTTATTGCAGACCTTTACCAATTGAAGACAAATGTGTCTCTTCGTGAAAACGAAAAATTTGGTTTGATTAAACTTTGTCGTGACTGTATAATATTTCTATGAGATGCCTTTTCATGTTAGGTGTGGTTGCCGGTTGTCCGGTTCTATATTGCTGGTCTCTAATTCTGCCTCTAAATCTAAAGTTTACCTCCAGTAACTTCCAAGTGCTTCCCTTTGTGACGACAAATTGATCGTTGTCTGACAATAATTCAAGCAGTTCGTCAGCTTTCTCATTGATGTCACTCACAAGCTGCTTCACCTGGTCTCTCAGATCGCTGGCCTTGTCCATGGCTTTGAAGAAGAAGTTGCAGATCTCCTCTATTTTATCCGTGCACTGACGAGCCAAGGTGACTGGTTCCTTCGTTATAGCAAGTATTTCACTCACTGAACTAATATCACCGTGCTTGATCGTGTTTACCAATTCCCTGCAGGTTCTGAGGAAGTCATTCCCTGGTTGCGTCTGTTCCTAAGAAAAGGTATGGAAGTCTGAATAAATAAGGCTGAAAAACTCAAAATTGACAGGTCTGGGAGAAACTCTGTTTACATGTATCTTTCCATCAATTTTTGAAGTCGCATATTATCCTGTTCGGAATCTATTACATCATGCCTACCTTTAGAAGCTCTTCCACGAGTTTGGAATAATGCTTTTTCATGTCAGTACCGAAGATTAATTTGAGTTCGTTTTCCAACTTTCCTGGAACTTCTTCCATGGGGGTCCTGTCATCTATCAGTGGAAAGTATTGATTTTTCATTGATTTTTCTTCGATGTCACGTTCCTTAGTCTGTGGAAAAAACCATGAAATCATTACTCCTTGAGAACTTCTTTTGCCTTGAAATATGCATTCGTAAAATTTTCACGCAAACTACACTCAAAACATTCTTTCAAATCTTACCCCAAACCTGTAAACAATACGATCCAACAGAGGGCGTAGTTTCTCACAGCTGTCGCAAGCGGCCCACACTATTTCTTCCGAAAAGGTCGCTCTCTTTTCCTCATCCTCACCATCCAGCTCAAGTTTCCCTTCATTATTTTCAAACCTTTTTTGGAGTATTGCTCGTTCCATTATGAAATGCTCCTTCCAAGCCTGTCGGTAAAACTTTTCCTGATGTAAGATAGCTGTAACGTCTCGCTTGATGGCTTTGCAGTTCAATGCTCTGGCATCTTTGTCTCTGTTGCGGCTGCTAAGGCCTTTGTCGAAGATTAAGGGTTTACCTTCTCGATGAACATGATCACTTCTTTCCAACGAGCAACAAACGTCTATTTCTGCAAGAATCTATAACGAAAAGGGATGCGTCGGGATAAAAGCCTCGAAATAAAATTATTACCTCTTAACGACTATTTTAAGTGTGTTAGTGTAAACAAAGACAAAAAAGACTCACTTGGAGGAACTTTGATCTTGGTGTTTCTTTAACGATGTTGTTTTTTATCAATCTGAGTAACTCTAGGCTAGCAACAAGACTTCCGCACCTGACAGCCTCCCTATAGGACAGGATGTATGGAGAATTTAGGTCAGGAGTAGTGGTGTCCCGACTCTCAGTTTCTGACTGAGTGGATGCAGAAGGCAAATGTCGAGCCTTTTCTGTACCTGGAAAACCAACCAAAAGGAGCTGGTTGTGTGCAATCGCTAGAGCCGTGTCCGCCCTTAACTTTCGACCTTCCATTTGGCTTAGACCAATATTCATAGAACAGATTGCATTGCCATGAGCCTTTTCAAATATCTCTTTCGTTTCTCCAGACTGGCGTTCTTCAGACAAAGCTTGTAGTTCTCTCTGACTGCCCATCTTCAGGTATGTCAGTGCGAGGTAGCGTGGGATATCGGCATTGGTTTCTCGATCGTGATCTGACTGGTTCTCCAAAATCGTTATAGCCTCTTCAAACTCGAAATTCTGGAAGTGAAGAATTCCCAACCTGAGGCTGTTTATATTGTAATGATACCGCAGTTTGGAATAAGCTTGTTTCTTTTTCGACTTTGCTTTTTCTTCTACTTCCCATATACAGGATGTCTCGTCAAGAAATTCAAACGAAGCTGTAAGGTCCATCACCTGCTGCCACATATTCATTCCTGATTCACATTCATTATTTTGTTCAAGGAATGCGGCGAACTTAAAGTACAAGTCAAGCTTGTTTTCGGTCGGCCACTTTTCGGACTGCTGTATGCTGTCTTCGAAAATCGTTTTCGCTTGCGTTGGACTCAAAGCATGCATTACTTCGCACCTGCTTATTGTAGCATATTTATGCCCCTTGTTAAGTTCCAGGCATGTCTCTAGCTCCTTAAGGGCTTTCTGATACCATTCGTCCGAGGGCTGCTCCGATTTACTGTCTGCTCTGTGTGTTACGGCATGTACGGTGTTTCCTTTGTACTGTGTACATCCTTCGCTTTGACGTACTGTCTGCTGTGGAGACTGCGCTGTTTTTACCCTTCCACATTTTTCGGCAGAGGCAATGTTATCTCTGGTGCTGCATTTTTGTGTGGTGTCTCGTGGTCGTGGCGTTTTTTTCACCGTGGTTTTCTTCTTGATGTTTTTTGCCTTAGCCATAAAGCACAGCGCCAACTGATAATGACTCTCATAATGGTCTTGTCCATTTCTTTCCTGCAATGTTTTTATTGCAAGGTCGTATTTTTTTTCCCATTTGTAATATCGGACTAAATTAAGCGCTACCTTGTGCACTTCCTTGGCGTTATTGTAAGCCCCTTTCAAATATTGTACTCCCTTTTCTCTTTCTGTTTTGTCCTCGCGTCCAGATAAATTCTGTCCCAAGTCTGATTTTACAATCGGATAGTTGTTCTTACTTTCCATAATCTGTTCCAGGTATGTTTTTTGTTTGTCCAATAGTTCCTTACCTTCTGAGTCCAGATTTTTGTATTCTGAAGTAGTGCTTCTTCTGTTTCTTCCCATCATGCCTGTCACAAGCGCAGCCCCATAAAGGAAGTTGACATCTTTGGGGAACTGCTGTAGCGCTCCCTCGAACATATCCAGAGCAGATGCGTACACATTGGGTCCGAGTCGTATCAAAGCAGCTGCCTGCACTGCCCTGATCACTAAAAGATCATTGCCCTCAAGTTTGTAACCACGTAATTCATCGCGTAGCTCTTGGACCTCTTGGGTTTTAAGGCATCTGTTCTCGATCCACATGCGATTCAGTAGTGACACAACTTTGTAGCCTTTACGCAGACGCTCATCTGTCTTTTCTATCCTCTCGTCTGCTTTGTCGATGGACTGTCTGGCTTTGTTAACGTCACAGCGTTTTCGGTTTTCCAATACCTCTAAGTACGCCCTGAAGAGAAGTGCTTCAATTCCCAGTAAGTGTGGCACTATCTCCGACTCCTCAGCTATGTCACGTATGACTTTTTCGCAATCGATGTCAACCCCAATTTTCAGATTCCATGTAAAGTGACAAAAGGGTAGTTCTGTCCAGTTCGCCTCTTCTAGTGAATTTTTTGGGGGGTTATTCCTAAAAATTCAAATGAAAAAAAGGAAATTCACTAAAATTTCTAGCATTTGTCATCAAATACGTCTATTTAGAGTATCAGTCAACTTTGAATAATGATAAACCCTCGACAAGGGTGATGTATTACCCAGTCCCTTTTAGAAGGACTTAGGCAGTAGGATTTCCCAATTTTGTTTGTTTATTTGTTTTTGTTTTTGGGGGGCAATTTTTTGCCATGCAAAAATGAAATATTTTTTATGACCCCTGAAAGGAAGAGGTGGGAGTCGTAAAATATACAGCCACTAAATAATACACTGGATTTGATATTGATTTCAGCGAAGTCACAAAGGGGCCGTTCTTTCTAATCCATTTTTTCATGGGATCTTTCCTCAGGTCGTTCCTGTTCGAATCGAAAAAATTTCAATACAGGCGTTTCACAAAAGTGAGCCTCCAAGTGTTTGCAACGCGTTGGCCAATCGGGCGGAATCTGTCAACCCAATGTGCGCTTGAAAATGGTTGACATATTTCGCGCATTGTGATTGGCCAATGTGTTGCAAACTCTTGGAGGCGCACTATTGTGAATCACCCGTATATTACTGATAGGACTTATGCCATTGGAGGTGCGGTACATGAATCTTGAAAGTCACAATGATAAAAAGCGATTTATTGCGTCCATACCAAGACTGACGAATAAAAAGAGATTTGGCAACGTCCGCGTCTTCTCCAAGGTCATAAAGATTACATGGGGGTTTCCCCTTTTCCCCCTTGTCAGACAGGTAAACGAAACCTGAACACTGTTGTATTGCATGCGTAGTTAATTACGGTTATTGAGGAACGAGTGTGCGGCATTGTCGCGTTGTGTGCGTTGTTCGAGTGAATGCCAGCCAATAAAGCCACGGCAGGTGCACCTGTGTGGCATGGACAATCTCATGTTTGTCAATAGTCAAGGCTGAGTTGTGAAAAAAAGGTTCTGTTTGATCTTTCAGTGAACTTTCGGCTGGCTCGGTTAGATGAATTGAACCAACCGTCCGGAATTTTTATTCACTTGGACTTGGGCTTGTTGCGTTTCATACGTTCTCACGAAATGAAGGGGAGCTGGAATATTTCCACCATAAAACATTCCGCCGTCAGTGTATGATGCGGTTCACCCAAATCATGGGAAAAAATTCTTTATTTCGAAAGTTTCTACGTTGTTCTGCCTCCTCCTCTGCCTTTTCCTCCAGGACGGTTTAGCGACTCGTGTGCTGGTGACATTTGTCACGAGGGATTTTAGAGAATAAACAGCGCGATGATAACATTGGATCAGTCTTTTGTTCGATTTATTTAAGATTTTTTCGATCAAATTCATTCAATAAACATCTGTAAAATAGACATAAATAGACAAAAAAATAAAAATATCGACGATATTTTACAATTAAATAATGATATCAATATATTCAGCAATGATTGTAGAATAACGAAATTGTTTCATGTATCACACGTTCGGCACGACGAAATCGAAGTTTCTTTGATAAAAAAATTCGATAAATATATGAAACTGTTTCAACAAAGTGCTAAAGTGAGCAACCCAAGACAAATCAAACAGGGGATTTTAAAGGTGATGGATTTTAGGGACGAATTGGAAGCTATCTTCAAACTTGAACAAACAGGTTTGAAAATGTGCTGGAAAACAAATATAAATAAAAGCAGCTAGAGGTATTCAGCATTTTATATTCTTCGCTCCTGCAGTGCCAACCTGAAGACGAAAATGTGATCAGATAAATTTCTACAAATGGCTTATTTCAGAAAACCAGGTTTTCAAAGCAGGTTCGTTTTGAGGGAGCTGTGGACCTAAGAATACATGTACATGTATGTATCAAAGTGAAAAGTTAAGAAAACCGACTAACAGAATTAGGAAATCCTGACGTTTTAAACTACCTGTATCTGATGTACACTAAGGCAAAACCAATAACCCTCAAAGAGCTGGATTATTTTGGCCTGTCTCACAGCCGGGGGAGGCAGGGAGGGATTCCGCCCCTCCTCCAAGAACTTGGCCATGCCACGCTCGATTTTTGACACGCATATCCCAAAACGCCTTATCGTTAATACCAACGTGAAGTTTGAACTTAGAAAGTTGCATGTTTTGGCTGTTGTGGCCATTTGAAGTTCGGGCTTACAAACACCTGCCAACCTGCATGTAATGAGCCCCACAGTGAGAAAATAATTGGCTGATTTGTCTCGGGAAAAACGGGCGCTGCGCCACAACGGCAGTTCGATTTTCACCATAAAATGGTGTCAAACTGACCGCAAAGAAGAACTCCAAAATCTCCTAACGGCTAAGCTCCTGAAAAAAACACACACTACGGCGATATCAGAAAAATGTCGAGGGGATTCTGTATCCAGGCTTTTTGGGGGTAAAAACAAAAGCCTTTACTTACGCCGTCGTGTCCTCCACAGTATCAACCTTTGCTGATGTCGCCTGTTCCTTTCCGGCCTGTTCAGTGTTTTGCTTCCGATGCGTCTTTTTCTGTCCCCTCACCATTTCTGTCTCCCTTCCTCTCTCACGTTGTTGACTGATGTTCCCTCTGGTATCCATCGTGTCAGTCATTTTTCCCCAAGACTCAGCATTGAGGGTGAGTTGTCTTCAGCGTTGTCAGCGGTTTGACCAAAATGGCGATGTGATTTTCCGTCCGCCTGCAGCCCTGGCTCTGAGCAGACGCCTGGTGTGACTCCCCTGGGCATCACGTGACACATGGACTGTGCGTGTTGCGTGCTCAAGGGAATTTCCCAGCGTGAGCAATCAGTCTTACTCAGTTGCATGTCGCTCATTTTGCATGAGACTTGCCGGGACACAATGATTTCTTTTTACTGATCAATTTACAATAAGCAAATATCACAGCTGAGCTTTTCAGGCTCAAATCTTTATCTTGGTTGTTAAGGATAAAAAAGGTTAACAGAATTATTATTTTGATAAATACGGTAGGTCTACGCCTCACAATGTCTTATTTACTGCGTACTGACTTCTGGGAGTCCAAGTTCCCGGCAGTATCTAGCCGGCCTACATGCAGATTAACAAACCTTCCTTTAGCTGCACCAAAACACATTTCATTTCTCTTCAACAAATCTACTTATATCCAATATCCCGACAATACAGTGTTGCCGCTCCTTAAGACCGATGATACTCCTATTAATAAAGTCGTAGCTGCAAACTTGAGGTGATCAGAATCTTTCTTCAAAGGGTCACATTTATTTCATCTCTAGAGTTGTCTCTTAACACTGGTATACTTTCCAACTTCTTTTTTTCCCCTCCTGCAAGCTTTGACTATGCTTTACAAGTTTCCCATGCGTCTGTACTCAAACTCTGTAATATCTCCTGGGTACGAACAAGTACAATAAACTTTACGCACTGCTGGTCGCAAGCAAGAGGGTCATACACACCTGCACTTTCCCTGTTCCATCTACAAGCCTTTTCTTGCGGGTAAGGCTTTGTGGTCAATGGTTATATTGCTCTTTGTATTTCCCATATATTTAATTTCATTTCATTGATAAGTTTTCTTGGAGCATCACCTAAATATCACTGTATAATGCTTAATGTTATTCCTCTTTGCATT